GGTAATCTGATCAAATTGTTATCAGTGATACGCCATCTTATTCGATAAAGAGTTTGGTATCACTTAAATGATGAATTCCATCTTTTTTTAAGTAATAATTTAATCATATGTACGAGTAAATAATGTAATCGATAAACGACATAACAAATAAGGGTGTGAAATGTATCGATCACTTTTCCCAGTATTTCCTGCAGCTTCGAACTTTTTCATATTTCGTTTAAAATGGAACTGCTTCTTTCGTATTACTTCAGTCTTCTTCGCGACGTTAATTAACTTTTTAAAAAAAGTGTCAAATGCACATACGCGCCCGTCAAAACAAACTGTTCACAAATGCAAAGCTACTTTAATTTATGCTGAATAAAGGATTTATAAAAAATATTTCAATTGAAATAAGTTTTGTACAAATGAGTTCTAATATATAGCCCATAAAAAGCTTGCAGCTATTCCATAAAAGCTCAGATTACATGCAATTTTAATGTAAATGAATAAGACTCTTATTTATTTACACTGAAATTGCATATAATCTAAGGTAATCTGATCAAATTCCATCTTAAGACCTGTGTCCACGATGCTAGAACTTGGTTCAAGTGGTAGTTTCGAGAAATGTGTAGCCAATCAACTTGCAGCTAGTCCATGAAAGCTGCAGCTTGGACCAAGTTCTAGCATCGTGGACACAAACCTTTATACTTTAAAGAGGGTACCGTCTGTCTCGATCGTGCCGACTAGTTCGACATTCAGCACACAAAGATATAAATTAACTCTCTTTGATTTCTGAATTTATCTTACACGATTTGGCGGCTATTTTCAAAATTGGCCGAATCGTCTTGTAGCAATTCGATGCATCGATTAAGCGTTCTACGACACATCGATAAGAACTCAGAAGTCTTCGACAGGCCAAATGAAGCGATGGTAGATACTGAGTGATATACGTGGACGAACGATCTTCGGGTAGGATACGAGGCGAATCGGAACTCGCCATGTTGTTCTCCAACTTGGGCGGACAAACGGGAAAACGGATTTGGTTGAGTTTCCCCACAAGTTGCCGACTGAAATCAGGTCGCTTGCTTGCCAGCGAAGTGTACAATAGCCATTCGTCATTTCGTGGATAAGAGTATACGTGTAGATAGGATCTGGGATGTGAATATCACGCGCAGTGCTGTTACGTGTCATGCTATACTTTATTTAATAATCTATTTGCGTCTTTTGACATTTCTCGATCATTTACAATATCTAGATGCCAGTTTTGCCCAGCGATGTACATTCGGAGATTGACCTTGCAATTTTATAATGGCATTGTCTTTAACGATAGCATTTTTTGTACACTGTAAAAGTAGTATCGTAAAATAAATAATGATATTTTCATGTTACAATTTTTAAAAAGATGGAATGCGATACTATTGAGTTTTAAGAACAGTTACTATATAATCGTAATGCTCTTGATATAACGTATTTCATCGTTTAAATGAGTATCGTAAAAGAATTGTATTTAATCTTAATTGAACATGACATGACGAAAAACGTAATATTTTTCGTCACCTTCTCGAAAAGAGTATATTAAGAAACGTACAAATCTAAGGTGACGTTTAATAAAAAGAGAAAGTAAAATTTATTTATTCACATAAGATTTTTGAACTGTCTGTTTATTTAACATTTATATTAAAAGTGTGTGAAAGGCAATTTATGAAGAAAAACATGAGAGAAGCAATATGTAAATAATATATGAACTATTTAACATTTAGATTGAAATATAAATATAAAATATGAGAAGCAATATATATACAGCAGATGAAGAAGAAAATGTACGAGAAGCAATATTAACGTAAAATTAACTTAAAAACTGCCTTATTATAAAATTCGTAAACAGTTAATTTGTAAATTATTTAGTAATGCAAGAATGTTAACTGAAAGACAGTCTACTAAGATAAATTAACACTCGGTGCCGAAACTATTAGGTACATGAGGTAGCTCGTTGAATATCGACGTAAGAGAGATTAAGGGGCTCAAGGGTGCGATTAAACGATCCGTTCTTCGAGGTCGCGTGGCGTGACGGCGCAGCCAACGTCATCATCTCCGCTGATATTCTTTTGATCTGTCAAGGACGAGAGTTCGTTGTCTAGACGAATCGACGGCCAAGTAGCGCTCTTCAAACGCGGTGAGACGCATTTAAATGCCGAAGCATTTGATGTCAAAAGAGGCGGTAGAAGGGCACGGGCAGGTACATAACGGTAGAATGAGACTCGATGACGATGGCGGGCATTTGCGGAAAGGATTAAAGCATGGGGATCAAAGGGAGATAAGCAGATCCTGTCGCCAGCAGAAATTCCGCGGGACGCGATCGATCGCGAAATCGCAGAATCCACTTCAGGCGCTCTATGTCTGCCGTTCTCTCTTTATGAAGCCAAATTTATGCCAGCTCGTTTCAGCAATAACGCACACTCAGAGGGAACAAAGTAGTTCCGGCAACTATAGTACGACGACTCTGAAATTCAAGTGCCCCTCAATTAATTTTATAAAGTCGTGAGAACAAAAGTGGTACTGAGGACTATCAGAAGTCAACAACAAATGCGGCAACAAATGTGACGTTGAGTGTTAAAATTATTTTACTAGCTGCACACGACTACTAATTGTAATTGTTAGACGAACATTTTTCTGAAATCACTCATTATGTCATAATTGCACAATAAGACACACTTTTCGTATCAATAATATAAACAATACTTTCCGTTAATAAGACAATTTTCTGCTCTATCAGATTTTCTACCACTTATTTGTTGCGAATGATTAACGTCACTATGTTTCCTTAATTCTGTAACTTATAATAATTTATTTGCTTTTACATGCCTCAGTGGTCGAATTGGAAGAGATACCCGTCAGACCCTGGTTGAAATATTTTCGCAATAAATTTATTTACAGTGATTTTTAAAGGGTGTGCGTTAGCATGAAGAGTTAAATTGTTTGTCGATTTAAATGTGAATTTGCTGTTCCAATAAATAATAGGACTGCAAACAATCGAGGTGCGCAATTTGCTTTACTGAGTTTGAAAAAACTATACAAAAATTTATACAGAATTATTCTTGTGCTATGAAGAACCGGATAATTTAGCATATTCTTATTTGTTAATTGAGATACTATTTCTCTCCTAGTTGCTGATATTAATTTTTTCTTCGTGTTGTATATTTAGAAATGAAACATTTGTTTAATCATTTTCTCAACACGGTGTTATGTGTCCAATCTGGTCGCCCAAAAAAAGAATAAAGAGATCGGGGAAAACGAAGTTTACATGAGAAAGTATCGCAGGCCTTTCCACGGGATGTCTGTATTTCGTGTACAAATGTCGTTTCGAATGAGGTTACTCGTCTGGAATATAACATGCGTAAAATATTGTGCAAAATTTTATCCGATCAAAGACATCCGTGAAGTGCAGACTAACTTTTAAGAGGATAACTTCGAACAGTGATGCACTCAACATTATTAATAATTATAATTACAATTAACTGTAACCATATCATACATTATAAACGAAACACGTATGTGTAAATAAAAAGCAAAATTATGCAAGCGGACGTAATTAAGCCTAGTGCGTTATAATCCACTGTGGAAGAGGATAATCGTAAGCATTAAATATTAACGTACAATTTATATCCAATAGAACGCGTGCACACGCTCGCAATTTAATTAAGTTTGTCGTAATTCATCATAATTCTTTTAATTACGATGCTTATCTTAATGAATTTATTGTCAGGATTGTAATTCATTTCAACGTACGACATTTTGCGTGCTCGCGAAAATCTCCCGCTTCTAGGGAAAAGTAACGTAATTGAACTTCACGGAACCCCTCTTGTATACGAGGGTACACCCTCTCAATTGCGATTACATTGGCGACATCCTGTCTGTAGTCCTTACCGCAGTAACCCTTGCGTCGTGGGGTGACGACCTCCCGTGTCCGCTCGCGCACTGCGTTTCCCCTCTTATGTTTCACAGATTTATTATTTATTAGATAGGCGAAAGAGAAAGAGTACATGTCAAACGCGGTAGAAGGACGCATGGTTGGTCGAAAGATTTTCTTCTTAGTGCTGCAATATTAAATTATGTTACGATTAGGATATCGTATAAACTGAAGATACGAAACTTTTACGAAAGTCTTTTCGAAAAAAAAATTAAGCATTTTAAATAAGTTTCTAAAACTCGACATTACGTAACAATATACGGATATAAAATCCAAAACAGAAAGAAGTGCATTATAAATTTAAATAATATTATAATGTTGAATATAAAGAAATGGTGATTAATAATAAATAGAATTGTAGATGGATCGTTCTCTCGTGACAGGTGCGTAGCAAAGATTAGTAAAGCCTAGGGTAAATCTAGGCGAATTTTTCCTGCGTCAATGAATAAAGATATCATTTTGTGTCACGAACACGTGGAACCACTTCATAATGTTATTGATCTTCTGTATTTAGAACCGCAAGGTTAGCAAGAAATTAAGGATATTATACGTAATAAAAGTCATTATGTTATATGTAATCGAAGCAGCGTCATAAAATGCAATAAGATTCCATTAGCAAGACCATCTTATTATATTATATTAAATATCTGAGGCAAAATGAATCTTACGTTACGCAGAAAACGTTCGAATATATCGGATTTCGTCTCTACAAAGAGAGATAGATTTCAATTTCCAAAATTATTTTGTGGATTTTATTTGGTTTATCGCAATTAATTAAAATAATACTCCCGTAACAAAAGGGAACTGATAAGAATTATTTGAAATCACTCATACAATATTGGAATAACTTTATGTAACAAAGGTATATATGAAACGCACACAAAGGATTTGTGTATTATAAAATATTTATATTTGGATGCTAAATATTTATATTTAGTGCTGATAACATAACGAGCAGAATGCTATTTTATAAATTCCTAAATAAGAACACTAACGCGGAATCGCTTTATTATGTTATCGATCTTCTGTATTTAGAAACGGTAACGTGTACAATCAATTAAGAACACCTATATATGTATAATAAACGATCTTTCTGACATAACAAATCTCTGTTACATAACACACATTATATGCGTGGAACTAGTTTTTACATTGAATAGCTAATTAATCGTAAATGCCATTCAATATTTAAATGATATGTAAACCGTTCGGAAAATTCATGCAATTATCGGGCAATTTCTTTTGTGCTTCGCAGGTAAAACGACGTCTTGCAGCTAAGCAATGATCTTCTTGCGGACGTGATCGGATGGGACAACGTGGGGAAATTAAGAGGGAGAACTTGAGACCGCGGAAGGCTTATTCCTTTGGTCTTCATCTAGGCACGTTCCTAAATCACGTTCATCGACCGCAGGGTAGTTTGACCTGGTTGTGGCCGGAGGTAGGTCTCTCCCATTTTCTCCCCCTCTTTTATCTCTGTCTTTTTTTATGTGTTAATTTACAACATATCAAATTACGCTGTTGGATCGGTCCATTGTTTGCAAACCGTGCCCGGAGTATGTATGTACATAGTAATGAAAATCATCGCGGCAGAATTTGTCAATCTTTGACTTGCATTGTTTGTCTGTTTTTTTTACATTTTGACATTTTGATATTTTTGACGGGTTAGCTCAAAAAGATGATTCATAAAGTAAAAATCTTTTTAGTATGAGTATTTACGATACGTTAAATATTTTATATTAATTAAAGGAATTTTTTGAGAGATGATTTTGTCGTCTGAAGCTTTTTGGCAACATCTGGAAAATCTCCAAGTTCACTTATTGCGTTCACTAGATGTGCATCATTAAAATCTATATTTGTCCAAGTTTCATTAAATTCACAGTTGGTTACATATTACAATATGATTTTAATAAGGTATATCTGGTTTATCTCTTATCGTGTACAAGTGGCTGTTTAAAGATGGAATATTGATACAGTCACGAAAATGTAATCCTAGAATGAGTAGCGTTTTAATAAATATGTATACATGTATATATTATTCTATTAATTAATTATGTTTGTATAAACATAATTAATTAATATAAATGTAATGAAAAAATAATTTAAATGTAAGTGTGTGCAAAATATTTTAAAAATTAGAGAGCTTGAGGTTTCCCCCAAAAATAATCTAGAAATAACAGAAAAAATTTTTTAATAATATCATGAGAAGCCTATTATTACATCTTGAAATAATTCTCCATATGTTTTTAAAATTAAAAATATTAAAATCAATAATCATATACGTATATGTATATTATCTTTTTAAGGAATGATTATCTGATTCTTTTCGCAATTACTTGGAGTGATTCTTACACCCCAAAGCTATTGTTATTAATTATATATTGCATATTTTTGCTTATTTTATAATTTATCGGTATTTCAGGATGATCATTACATGTACAGACATTACATGTATAAAAGATATGAATTAATAAAATTTGTTTTTGTATTACGAGTTTTCGATGAGATTGTATATATAAAGATTTATGAAGAGTAGACATAATTTCAACTCATATTATTATTTTGATGATTTATAATATAAACTCTTATCATATCTTATTAACTTTTGTAATTAAACGGTCATCTGGGGTAATTTCTTCAGCAAGTTTCAATGAATTAGTAATATCAATGTGCAGGTCCTAAATTCTTTCTGTTATGTAGAGTAAATGGGAACCTTCGAATGAGAAATAGGTATGAATTTTTCGATCGATAACAAAAATTATTGTGGCACGAGATTTATTTTTTTTCGACGCTGGAGTGCAAAAAGCACCCAATGTGACCGTTTACGGGTTAATTGAGAACGTGGGTCGAATAGATAAAAAGAAATCTTTAATCCAACTTTTAATCACTTTATCTTCTATTCTTAAACCTTTGATTACCATATTCCTTCTCGAATAGATATAAACGAGATAGTGAGATTGAAGAAGTCACAACTTCTTGCCTTCCTTCTCGGTGCAGTTGTTAGCGGCGCCAAGTATGGCGAGGAGCAACAATAATGGTTGCGGACGCAGTTCCAAGCACACCGTCCGTCGCTGCGATGTCGCCGTCGTATCACGTGGTAAGGCAACGTCCCAGCAATGCGAATCGATTGGCGTCGTTAACGGAGGCAGCATCCAGCAACGTAACAGCGATGACAGCGCCGGGACCAGCAACGGCACCACCACCGGCATCACCGCCAGCAGCAACGCCAGCAGCAATCACAGTCAAGTAGAGGGTACGGCGGACTAGAGGCTATCCTCTTGAACGCAGACTCGGTGCAATTCAGGATTAACGTGAGTACTCTCGCATTTATATGGGCTGTTACTTCTTTTATAAATTTGAGAGAGAATTCTCGGTATTAAATAGGTGTCGAGGAAAAATTTTAACGAAAATTTTAACTCGCCGAATGACGACCTGAGTTTTATCCAGACTTATTGTTAGATACAGAGCACTGGCTCGGCAACTTGACGACGTGTTTCGCTCGTTCGCGTCGATAGGAATCGAAGCGATAATGAGACACGTTTTGAAAAAATTGTATTTTTTAACAGTGCAATAAAAACTTCTCAAACAATTCGAACGTTGTTTGAAATGCATGTAGATCCCCACAAACAGGTGAAGAACGGACCTTGAGCATCGTAGCCCGCGCGCGTGCCGAAATCGTCAGTATTGCGATTATTAATATAACATATACATAGTACTGCTTTATGTATTTGCAGATTTTGTTTAAACGGGATTTAGGAGGGAAAGGCTTTTACCGTCTCTCAAGAGGTCTCAGATACTTTGGAAAATTTGCTCTTTTAACCACGCGCTCCTTTCAGAAATTAAACCTCTTTCTCAAATAATTTACGATTCTAAGAAGAGTAAATTATATTTCCTCTTCTTTTTGTACAAACGGTTATACATGTATAACGACATGATACGAAGTAAATAAATAAGTTGCACATAAAGCAGAGAAATATTTTTTAATTTGCAGACAGTCTTTTAGAATTTTCTGTATTATAATTAGCTTTTCTTAAAAACAAGTATAATTTATTATATTATCAACAGAATATAAGATAGCCAATATGGTCTGAGCAAGATGTAGGTGGTCCGATAGTTTATTATATTATGTTATATATTATATTTTAAATATACTATATTGTAATACTACAATGTTAAAATAAGTTTGCTGATTAAAGAAAACATATAATTGCGATGTATGAAAAGTATCATAATTCGCAATGTAGGTACTATTGCATATTTACATTTTATTTACAAATTTATTACATGGTTTTGCAAAAAAAAATATTAACATTCTGTCGATCGTTCGAGTGAATCTGTTTATTTCGTGATTCACCGAGCGATTAAATAGATAGATTTATCCACTTTGCACTACGCCATTCTTTTCTTCTTCCTCCTCTTATTCTTGTGTGTATACGTAATGTCCGGTTCCAACGTACCGAGACTCGTACGTTGGTACTGCGAGCGGTATCAAGAGACACGGTAGTGTCTCGCGCCAAGTATAAGCGTTCTTTTCTTAATTAATTTAAAGGCGCAGCATTAAAAGAAATTGTGAGAGAATGTACGTGGCGATTCCACCGAGAAACCGTTTGCTTAATGGTCTCGGTTCCGTTCTAATATTGCGAGACTCACGTAGCGCGGTCTATCCGCCACACATTAACGGTCGGCTAGGTGACGAATTTGAACACCGAAACAAACGATGCGTGCGTAAATTTACTGTGGGTATAATCCCGTCCTTATTGGCTCGCTCCAAGCGGAGCTAGCATCTCGAGACAACAAATAAAGCCTGTACAGTTAGAGGAAAGCACAGAATGAACCTAAACGCTATCGCCTGTATCAGAACATCTCTCTCTCTCTCTCTCTCTCTCTCTCTCTCTCTCTCTCTCTCTCTCTCTCTCTTCGCGCTTCTGATTTCCCCGGTTCCTACCCTACAAGCATGAGAAAAGAAATCTTCGAGGACGATAAAGATTTTGCAGTGCTCAGCGCCTACGATTAGTCAGGCATAACTTGAGTGTTGAGACGCTCGAGAGATTCCATGGTACAAATTTTATGAAGGATTATTTTATATACAACCAGATTGAGCCTTCAAATGTGTGCAGACGCGAACGATTAATTAGCGTAAATGTCGAATGCTTGGCACAGCTATATTGTTACCGCGCAAATTTACTGTAGCAAACGAGTGAGAGGAGAGCGCATAGAGAAGATGTAAAGGAGGGGGAGGGGGGGAGGACGTGTCGTGCAGTTGTGCAAACAAATTCAGCTTAATTAATCGGGAAGAGCGCGACTGTTCTGCAGTTGGACGCCTACATCCGGAGTTTAGTTCCTCCTCTTCGCCGTTTTCCGCGCGATACTCATTAGAGCGAGAAAGCACGAGATATTTCCTTCACGGAAACATTAAGTGGCAAGTTAAATTTCGTCACAGGCGACAGATTATAGCGTTGTTTTTTATTTTGAGCTGCTCATTTTCACGCGCGCGAAAAAAATGAATAACGATAAACGCATTTTAATTTGCCTGTTGTCAATGCATTAATTTTTCCACGAGCGTCTAAATACAAAGTTATACGATTAAGGGAAATTTACAGAAGGCATCTGGGAAACAAGATTATTATCGTTATTATATTTATAGTTGTAGCTTTATCAAGAGTTGCACTTAAGCTCGACATTTTGTTGCATAATGATAATGCAATGGAGGACTATGTGATTGCAGCATAAAATATCCAATAATTACTTTGTATGCAATATCATGTCATGCACAAAATAATATCAACAAAGCAACAAGATAATATGCCACATAAATTACTGAAACCGATATGTTTAAATTAATAATTAAATTTGAAGTTCACATTAATAAGCTAGAAATTTTTTTAATAATTTTGGCAAGATCGATTCATTTTCGTCCATTTATATTCTTGGCAGTTATTATAGCATTTTTTTCAGATATATTCTATACTTTAACTTAAACTCGAATAGAAATTGGATCGAAATTTCGATTGGGACCAAAAATGTCACCGTTCTAAGAAAATAACCCTTTTTCTATAAAAGAATCATCAGACACATACGAAAGAGCAAAAGAAAGGAATCAATTCCCAGAAAGCCACCGAATTGTTGGATGGCTCGTATTTTGATGTTTTAAACAAACTCGCCACGTTATCTCATAAATAATTAAACTAATAACAAATTATCATCTTGCCCTCTCCGCCACATGAAAACTCAGTCCTTCTCGAACCGTTGAAGACTCGAGACAAATCGGATTTTTGACTATTGACTTAATTTTTACGGATCCCTGTTCATCACGTTACATCTAAATAAGTTATACCCCCATATAAAATTGTTCGTTCTATAGTTCGACTAGTTAATTATTATAATTTGTTTTAATTTAGACTTTCATACCTTCCGGAATGAACTTTAAAGGAATTATTAGACGTCTTTGGCAACGCGATAAGTGCCGAACGTGACAGCTATTTGCGGATTAAAACTATAATTACAGTACTAGCGGCTCGTTAAAATGTGTTGCATCTTATATTTTTTCAACACGACAATCTAATCTGCAATTAGACAAAGTAAAAGCCATCCAACAACTCGGTGTCTTTCCGGGAATCGATTCCTTTCTTATCCTCTTTTGTACGTACTACTTCGCTGATGATTCTTTTATAGAAAAAGGGTTTTTTTTCTAAAATGGTGACATTCTTCCAATCAAAACTTCAACTTTATCTTTTTCTTACTATTTTTTAACCTCGCTGAAGAAGACATTCCGTTGTATTTAGTTCTGTAATTAATCGCAATCGATATTACGATGCGAAATTAATTTGTTACCTTTAGAACAATTCTACAACCTTTTTGCTCGTCTAATATATCGGCCGTGACACCAAACATTTGTTATTGCTAAAAAAAAGACGAGCGTGACTATCTTCTTTAATGAATTGCTAAAACAATGCAACAAAATTTGAGCTTTATACACCTGCCACTTTCAAACATTGAAATTTCGTCGCCGTTTAGTTTGTCGATATTTCTGTTGCAGAGGACGCGAGGGTGAGCGCATCACGCAGGATGAATTCGTGCGCGCTCTACTTTTCCCAACTGCGGGCGATGCTCGTGAGGAATCTCCTGCTGAAGAAACGTGACACGCGGAAGACGTTTATGGTATGTGCAATCGAATTCTGATATACTAATGCAATTAAAAGTTTCTATCGCGGTAACAATTGGCTCTCGATGTCTCTCGAGCCACGATCGATTATTTTCGTAATTCAATCTTTAAATAGAGGCCCAAACGCTCTCAGTCGCTCGGTGTGATTTTCGTCTTTTCAAGATCGACAGTTATCGGCGTAGCTCGCTCTGTTAGAAAAGAGTTGTACACGTTAAACATTATTAGACACTAATGGTAAGATCCGGCCCGACCGTGTCAGGCTTTTCTAGTACTTGTGGAATTGTCATTTACCTGGTAATCCTCGGAGAGATGTAGTTAAATTAAAAATCGACACCTGTCTCTCGAGGAACACGTCGCGGGGCGTGTGCCAAGTGGTTATTCGTGCCATATATACAGCCGAAGCCAGCAGAAATGTGTTGCCAAAATCATTCTTGAAGGCTCTCTCCGGGAGGCGATGGGCTGCGTATCGAAATCATTCGAAGTGACGAACTTGGAAGTTCTCGCCGTCATGCCGTAAAGTACACGTTGACATTAGACCAACTTATATATATTTTTCTCAACGTTTAAAACATACAATGTATGAACGTCAAACATTGGACGCGACACTGTTTACTGGGAGAGGTGTAAACGGGAAACTTTCTCGTTTGGTCCAACTAAACGCGTCTGTAACAGAATTCGTTTAAAAATAACTGAGATATATAAAGATTTCTATGATATATGAAATTTCTATTTTCACTCTCGAACGTAATTTACGACTCTTTGAATTTTTTACGCTTTCAAACCATAGCTAAAAAAATTAACTGTCAAGTGTGTCTTTTTTATTGAGTTTGATCAACGGTACACGATTGACGTAGAAAAATATGTTATTTTAACAATCTCAAATATAAGAGTTATATAACTTCGCATTTAGAGCCCCCGTCGAATTTTCGTCGGGAATAGCTAACTTCACATTCATTAGGTAATCCGTAGAACTGTATGAGAGTACAACGAAAGTAAAACGATGTAAAAAGAAGAGAATGACGCGGGCGTTTGCGGGAATGGCGACGGCACGACTGCGTCTTGTCGCAGACTGCGTTCGCCAACTTCGCTGCCAATCGGACGTTTTTGCGTAATCGCCGTGCCAACTGGGCCAAGGGAGTTAGTGATGGAGAAGGGAAAATGCCTCTCTGTTTTCGTTGAGTTTTTCCCACTTTTTTACGTCACGGTGCATATGAAGACGTTGCATCCAGGATTGATATGCATAATTGAAAGTGAAAAGAATTGCAATCATAATTTGATAAATCATATTCGGGAATTTACTTAAATCCAATACTTAAATTAAATTTGAAAACTTAAATAAATTATATATAATTTATGTATAATATGTAATATATATAATATTATATATATATGTATATGTATAATTATTAAAATAATAAATAAAAATAAAATAATGAAAAGTTTTAAAAACCATCAGTAATTCGCAATATCTGAGGCATAATTTCGCTAAGTATTATAATTTTATTACAGGAATGCATGATTCTTTTTAAAGAAAAATCTATTTAATTTTAATTACAAAGTTAGTTTTGCATTTATTTAAATCTTTGAAATTTGATTCACCAGAATCAAATTTCAAAGATATTAATTTGTAATCTACCTTATGTATGTATAGCCTGATATTAATTCTTAAATATGTATAATCATTTTTCACAATTTGAACTTTCTAATAGTTTCTGCCAGACCTAGATGGGGGACGTGGTACACTCGCTATAAATATATATTCTACATTTAATATACCACATGCTCCACAAATTGCTAAATTATTCAGACGAGAGAATATAGACTCGTCTCGGTTGTCAAATAATTACTGACTTGCTTCAATTAAGATTTAATATTTATATTTTCCGAGGGAAACCTAAAATATATTTAGTTTATATATGAATACATTTTTCTGACATTTCAAATAAATTAATTATCTAGAAACTTTAAATGCTTCTTATCTCAATTCTGAAATAATTGCTCATTTTCTCAATCCATGTTCCAATACTGAATACATCAATTTATAGTTTATTAGCTCTAGAACGCTTGATTATTTATTGTGTTATACACAGCTGGATACATGTCGAGAAAATCCATTTCTCACTGTTTGATATGTACTCGTACTAACATATCACATACATTCATATACGTAATGACAAAATAGAGGGAAGAGCACTCTACTGTGTTGCGGTATCTGCTGGGAATCTACAAAGGCCATAAAAATTACAAATTTCTCTTATTGTCAGCTTGATTTTGAGCGGAACCCTGCTTTTGTTCAAAGTTTCAAGTGCCATTAGTGAAACAAGCTCACTTTTTACGAGCGTTCCTCTGCTTACTGTCCTTGGCCTTGAAGATACCTGGATCAAGAACATTAATGGGTCCGTTGTTCCACAATGAAGCAGACACGGACTCGGTAGGCTCGACGGTGGACGGTAGTAGATGAGGCCCGATCAGAAAATACGCTTGCTCGACCCAGGTAGGCAGAGCTAAGCCGACGACGCAACACTGCCACAGCGGCAGGCCCAGATGGACCAGCATCATACGGAAGTATGTGGTAAAATTGTCAGCCAGATTGTACCAGCCGCTGCCGCGATGGAGCCAGATACTCGGCGAATCCTGTTCCTGTTTAGAGCGATATGCCAAATAGATCCTACCGTTTTCGGGGCCTGGAAAGCACTGACCGATCTCGAAGAGCTTGCAGTCGCGCGAGTCCCCGGCAAACATGGTATCCTGCGACTCTGCGGTGACGTTCCCCGCTTGGATTCCTGACGAGTCCTGCGTCGACGATCCCGCCTGCCGATCCTTGCCGACATATCTCTTCAGCGACGAAAGACCACCGATCTCCATACGACCTACTGCGAATTCCTCGCCTGTATCGATATGAAATTCTTTAATAGGTTTAGGATTGTGATAGAAGAATCCTGACATGCAAGCTTTTTGAAAAATCGGTAAATAGCGGTTTCAGTGATTAGAAATTGGCGATTTCTATCTGTCATAATATCATAATACCTGTCATAATATATTCGGAAGGTTTAATCTCTATGTTTATATCGCTTATTACATTAATTATATCTTTCAATTTGATACATTATAATACTTGTTAATAATTACATTAAAAAATCTACGCAAAATAAAAACATTAACAGTAGGCCTTTTTGTTGCACAAAAAGGAATTGTTCTTTTATTAGTAGTTTTACTTAAAAATTATATAAAATAAATAAAATCATAACTTAGAATTAATGAATTGAAATAACAAAAAAATACATAAAACATTAAACTGCAATATATTAATAAAAATTTTTTATAAAATTATACACATGTGGAATATTATATTTCAGCGATATAAGAAGAAGATTTTTTCTAATGGATAAAATTACCAATATAATAAATACAATATAATTTTATGTATATCTAAATGTTGAAATGGAGAAAGTACCGTCGATGACACTGAAAGGATTACAGAGCAAAGAATACACTGAATCAGAAATGCAAAATTAAAATATTCGTCGTGGTTACCTGCTATATCAAGATTCCACTGCAGCAGGAAACCATCGATGGAGGCGTAAAAATTCCGGATATCCTCAGGAAGCGCGCAGCAATGGCGTTGCTCCCAGTTGGTGATGGCACCGAATTCGCAGCCGTTTCGCCTCTCGACCCGCACGTTTCTCACGCATGGCGAGTTCTCGAGGATCTTGACCACGCCGAGGGTCAGATTCTCGTAGAAGGAATCCTCGGTGACAATGTCCACGCAGAACGACATCGTCTCGGTGTTCTTACCCTCTGTCTTTTGCAAATTCAATCATTTTCAAATTGATCTGTCCTTTTGAAAAGAAAATTTATGTTGCAAAATATATTTCTATTAATCTTTTTAATCCATCTGTTTCGTAAGCTGTCTGTTACTTCCGCATTAAAAAAAAAAGCGATAGAGGAATTGTAGAGAAATCATAAAGGTAAAAAAATTCCAATATTGTTAGCAACATTCTACAGACACACAAAGTATTTATAATTATGACAAAGAATGAGAAAATAATTGAAGTTACATTTTATAACTGTACAAATAATTTAATTTTTAATATGTATTTTAAAATATATATTTTAATATATTCTCTCGCATGTTCGCTCCCCTCGGACCATCATGCAATTCGTGTTCATTCTTGCTTTTTTGTTCTGTCTCTCTTATCATTCTATTTCTTACAATACCTCTCCTTATGCAATGTTAGCTTCTTGCAGCAGATAAAAGTTAAAAGACGTGATGAGTAAATGAATGGTGCATTAAGTCACAGATGGAAGCAATTACCATTTGTATGTTTATACTATTCTGCTCACTTATTCTGCTCATTTCCGACGAGGAAGAAATATAAGGGTCTTATTCACTCGCATTCGAAACATTATGACGTTTTTGTAATTGACATTACGTCAATCTGAGTTACGTAATCGACGTATTGACACCAATGCCGAAATGATATAAATTTTTACACTACGATCGCATTACGACACATTACGCTTCGTCCGTGACAGTGTCAAAAAGATCTCTGGCAATGTCTACGTTTCGACGTTCTAGTAATCATCGCGAGGAGTATACGTCAGTTCTTTGTTGATCGCCATGACGACGGAACACTTTCGAGCTATCAATATCTCCAAACAAACACTGAGTTGACTGAGTGTCTCACAAATATTGTCTCTTTACTCGTCCAGAATTAATTAAAAATCCTGTTGAAACTTTTCGACTTTATCTTAAACAAGATTTAGCATTTTAGCTTTTTACCTCATCTATTTAAATATATTAAATGTCACGAGAGAGAAAGAGGCAATCGAGCCTGCAGGATCAAGATTTATCTTATTAGAATGAAATTGACCTTAATGACGTATTTGAAAAATCAACTATAATTCATTTACTTTTTTTTGTATAAATTAACGTATAACATATCTATTATTTTTAATTATTTATAAAACAAAAATTATTCATATCTCGATATCTAAGATAACGAATACAACTGCAATAATCTACAAATAAACTGTAAAATTTGCAAAAGCGAGGTATGATTATGAAATAATAATATTGCAATTATTAATAAAGTTATCATGCACTCTCGTATTAAAGTTCTCAAAGTTTTTCGTTATCATCTCTTTGTGAAGATTGAAACAAAATTGTCAGTTTATCAAAAGGGAAAAATACCCGGTCGAAATGATTTGAAATATTGTTTGGTATCGCGTTGTGAATAGTGGAACAGAACAGCAGGTGCGTGTATGGAACACGGAATAATTACGGGACACACAGGGGATTTCTTATTACGTAAAATTTACGTGGTACGTTTTACGCAATATGAAACGAAGGCTAACCATTCTATATTGCAACAAATACCAAAAATATTTTATTTATCCAGTGTAAACGGTGTATATGTATAAATATAAAACGGCTGCATTTTCAAAACATGTTTTTTTTAAAGACAATTACAATAAAGTAACAAAGAAAAATTCTCCTCGATACATTAATAATATTGAGCTACACATGTATACGATTGTTGTTAATTTATCAATTATCGTCGCTCTAGAGAGAAAAATGCAGAGGTTTATTTCTTTGAAGTCGCTTGGATTCTTTTTACTAAAATGCTACCAAGTTACTACATATTTCTTTGATCCGAAATTAGCATCATTTGATTGCCTACAGGAGGTCGTTCTACCCCTCTATATCCTCGGGGCCTTGATCGTGATAAAGGTCATGATACCCAATCCAAACTTTCCCGCGATGACGACGCAGAGGCATGAAGGAGATATATTTGAATTATTCAATGGCTACAAAAACAATACGATCGCCGTGGTACCCAATTCTACGGAAACCCTCGTAAGTACTGGTCTCTAGATCACCGCCGACTCAATGCGTTGAATTATTGACTCAAGTACAAATACTTTTGCTTTTCAAACGTTGTAAAAAACATCTCATTATATATGTGTATATATGAATAAAATTGCAATATTGTTCCATTTCATTTTTGTTAAATATATTTTTCATTGAATTCATCTGTTTAAATAATGCTTCTTACTCTTTAAAAAAAAACTAAATTTTTGCAAAAGTTAAAAATTGCTATTTTTATGTTTTTTAAAACGAAAATATAAAATTGTAATTCTGTTTCTTTTAATATTTTGGAACAATATTTTATCTAGAAATAATCAATTTTGGATTCATTATAAATCACTTTTACTTGCTACATATCTTTTACTATAATAATCGTGTGTAATTTTATTTCGGAATCAACTGTTTTAAGAGATTATTTCTCGGCCAATTATTGCGAACTTTCGCCTGATATAAAATTAATGATGTATTTTCTAGAGCTTCTTAAACTCCATGAATAGCCTCTGGCGCTCTATGTGGGATTATCCCGATAAGCTTCCTTTAAACTTCATGGTGTTCGACACGAAAGATGATCTACAAGCAGCGTACTGGAGAGACCCTTACAGTGTACCCCTAGCAGTTATCTTCGAGGACCCCCAGCCAATATCACAACGTCTCAAGTAAGATAATTTTACTCGTTTTAACTATTAAATTTAAATAAGGCAGTACGCAATATTTTTCAAAGAAGAAATGCATGCAGAAAGTGAAGAAGAAAAGTTTTTACGATAAGGAATATTTTTATTTCTTACGTTTGTATTAAGTTTCTTATTGCGCCAATTTATTTCTTGAAATAAAGATATCGAAGATTTTTATAATGAATAGGTAAATAGGTATTACATGGAGAGATGTCGGAAATCGTTTTTATAAAAGTTTTTCCTCTTTTACTTTCCTACAACGTACAGGAAATAACTTCATAATATATGCATGTATGTAATAGATTCTGGTTAATATAACCTGACTTCATTAATTTTATAACTATTTTAATGTGACTGCCTGTTTTGTTATTACAGTTAATATCACATGCATCTTATGCGTTTAAATTTCGGAAAATAAATTTCGAAATCAGATATAAAACGATGAACGGAGACTATTAATTGTGATTTTTCCCCCCTTTTTTTATTCGACTCTCGAGAGAAGCATAGCTCAGTTATTAGCTCTTTTATTAACACATGGAACCTTTTGTACTGTTTAGATATGAAATTAGGACGAATCCTTCGTATACCTCGCCGCCGTCGCCAACCGAATTGTATTCTGCTCCGATCAGTTGTCGAAAGAATAAAACCGGTCACTGGATGGGTGATATTTTTTCGATAAAGACCGGGGAATCCTGTCCCGTTAACAATTACTTGCATTCCGGCTTTTTGGCCTTGCAGATGATAATGGATATCACAAAGATAAGAGTGAGTCCTTCCCTTTACTTTGAAGTATAAATGTCTACTAAGTTTTCATTTTATGGCTCCCGTCTTTTGCTTGATAAGAATATAAGTCTGATCTGGCAATTAAATTCAGCGATTGAGCCTGGTGTTACTGTTTGCAGTTGGACGTGGGAAATTTCGACGTGACAGTACCAGATATTAAACTCATAATGTTTCCCAAGGAAGCGTATACTGCTGGTGAGCGGTCTGATCAGAAAATTTTCTTTTAAAATTTACTTATTTCTGCGATACACACCGCGTTCAGAGTTGTAACGATTGCATTATTTTCTTAGACTGGATGTTGGCCTTCAGAGTTGTTATTCCGCTTTACATGGTCTTGGCGCTTTCGCAATTCGTCACCTATCTTTTGATCCTAATAGTCGGCGAGAAGGAAAATAAGATTAAAGAGGGAATGAAAATGATGGGCTTAAACGATTCAGTGTTTTGGTAAGACAGTAATTTACAAATAATTCTGTCAAATAGCGATCTCCAGCTCCAACGATACACGATTCTCTAAATACACGTTGGTTTATATAAAATATTCTTAACAATATTCTCTTGCAGCGTTACACATTTCTTTTCTTCCTTTCGTAGGTTGTCTTGGTTCATCATCTACAGCATTTTCGTCTTTTTGCTCTCTGCTGTTGGAGTGGTGTTGCTCTTCACGCTGCAAATGTTTCAACACACGCATTTCCTACCCATATTCCTTTTGGTTGTTCTATATAGTTTCTCCGTAATTATGTTCGCCTTTATGATCACACCATTCTTCGACAAATCGCGCGTAAGTAATTGTTTTTTATATATTTTAGTTAAAGCTTTAAAATCTAAATTGTATATATATTTTTTTTTAATTGGCAAAGAACAGTAGCATAAATTATTTGTTACCTTTTTTATTACCTTAATTAAGAAATATATAATATGAGGAATAAGGATATCTTTTTTATTTATTTCAGACGGCTGGTGTCTTAGGAAACTTTGCTGTCACAATATTGAGCTTGATGTACTTCATCCAAGTATTTGTAAGTGATTCCAGCTCAGTCACGTACTGGTTGGTTTCTTTAATCAGCCCAACCGCCGTCGCCTTGGCAATGGATAAAGTAAGTCTCAAAGTACTCTGTGATGGCAATTTATCTTATTGGGACTTTGATTTGATGGTTTAATCTTCAATAACATAATTTTGAAATAAATTGTTAATAATGGTCTTTAATTTTCTATTATTGGTAAAGTTTTACTTAACATTTACAAATGGCTTAACAGAGGGACTTGCAAGAGTTTTTTTATAATTACGACAAAGTGGATTTGTTATGTATGTCGTATTTTAAAAAGCTTGGCACTGTGTTGCCTAGGCTCTAGTACTGGATCTGCAAGGTGAGGGAGTGAATTTCGATAATCTCTGGTCCGGCCCAGGGATACCTTTCGGCGGCAGTCTCATCATGATGAGTCTGGATATCATTCTGTACGGCTATCTGGCCTATTATCTCGACTCTGTGATACCAAGTATGTTTTTCTTTTATTTTTTCACAATCTACCATAATGTTATATTGTTTCACACAAAGTATTCCAATTTTGCTAGGTGCGAGAATATCTTTACATTCTATTCAAATTTTCAGAAATAATTTGTTTGCGCGTATCTGGATAGAACTTAATGTAAATATCTATTTCTAGGTGAGTATGGAACTAAGAGGCCACCTTGGTTTTGCTTTTTACCTGGATATTGGTGTCCAAAAAAGGTTCAAAGGGTGAGTTCTTAAGAATATACAATGAAAACATAAATAAGACTATGTATGACTACTTTCATTAAAATATATCACACACACATACATGTATGATACATCAGATAACTGAACTTTTTTAAATAAAATTATACAATTTTTTTTTTATTGTGATGGATTATTTTACTAATGTGTACCGGCTGTTTGAAATATTTTAAAATAATATAAAATTTGGAGAACAGAAGAGGTGTAGAAAAATATCAAAAGGTTTTTGTTAATCGAGTCATTCTTTTCTCCTTTCGCCAATAAAGGCACTGATCATTGATGAGTTGATGGGAATATCACGGTCGTCGTTTTCATAGAAATATTTGCAGGTGCCGTCGTCGAACGGCGAGTCAAACTCGTTCATTCCGGGCGAGGAGACACATCGCGACGTGGAACCGGTGGTGCGCGAGATGAAGGGCCGCGAAGCGATCAGGATAGCCGACCTCTACAAGTCGTTCCACAAGTGCAGGCATCCGGAGATCAAGGCGGTGAACGGCATCAATCTGACTATCTACGAGGGCCAGATCACCGCCATCCTCGGTCACAATGGCGCTGGCAAGACCACCCTCTTTAACATCCTTACGGGTCTGACCTCACCTACATCCGGCACCGCCCTTATATTCGGTTACGATGTGCGCGATTCCAACGACATGCGGGCGATACGCAGCATGACCGGGGTTTGCCCGCAACACGATATCCTTTTTGATCTGCTGACGCCGCGCGAGCACCTCGAGTTCTTTGCCGCAGTGCGTGGCATTCCACGCTCGATGATACAGCACGAGGTACACAGACGATAAAAGCATCCATGTATATCGTGTTTAAGTTATATTGATTTACACGCTACTTTACGCAGTAATTTATATTAATTGACGGAGGGTGGCATTTTTATTTGTAAGAATAAAAGTTGATAAGAAGATTACTTCTCCAGGTGAAGAAAACTCTGAAAGACATCGATCTGGTTGAGAAGGCGGACACCTTCGCGCGATACCTAAGTGGTGGGCAGAAGAGAAAGCTGTCTGTGGGAGTCGCTATCATCGGTGATCCTAAAATTATTATTCTCGACGAGCCTACCGCCGGGGTGGATCCTTACTCGAGGAGACAGATGTGGTCCCTTCTGCAGTCGCGGCGACATGGAAAAGTGATTTTACTTACAACTCATTTCATGGACGAGGCCGACATACTCGCCGACAGGAAAGCAGTAATCAGCAAGGGAAAGCTCAGATGTTGCGGCAGCTCCCTGTTTTTAAAGAACAAATTCGGCATTGGATATCATTTAACGTAAGAATGCTACCAGTATTTGTTTTTATATCATATTGAGAGAAAACTCAGTTTGTGAAATTAAAATTCTGGCGTTTCAAATTCTTGACTTGGAAAAAGGAAACGAAAACGAAGTATTTTCTTGCTTCGCGTTTATTAATTTCAGATCTTTCTCTCTTGCTTATTTTAATTCCACTATTTTAAATAGTTTGATGTAAACATAATTTAATTCTTTATAGAAGAACATATGGAGTAATACAAAAAATTCAACGTCACATTTTATTAGAGCTTCTTTCAATGGAAAGTAATTACGAAGCGTATATAATTTTCTGCCAACAATAAAATACTTTCAAACATTTAATGAATATTGTTTTGCAATTACAGATTAGTTTTAGAGGGTAATGCCAGGGAACATGCTATCGGCCGATTAGTAATGTCACACGTGAATAAAGCGGAAAAGGCGAGACGTCACGGTCGGGAACTGAGCTTCATTCTACCTCACAATTCCGTGGAAAACTTTGCACCCCTTTTCTCCGCTATTGAGCACGAAATTAAGACTCGTTCGAGTAGACTTGGCATCAGCAGCTATGGTGTGTCGATGACCACCCTGGAAGAGGTATTTTTGCACCTGGAGAAAGACGAGGAGACCGAATGTACAATGGACAACCTGTCGAAGAAGATGGTGCGTAATCGCGCGCTCAGCCGATCACTTTCGTTGCAATCCAAGAGCACGTCGTATCAGAGTTTGCAGAACGAGGGGGTAACTGTACAAGGAGACAGCCAAGGGAAAGGTGCGTGGATCACTTTTTCTCATACATTCCGTCTCCAGAGCTTTTGCAATTCAAAAGAAGACGGTTGGTTTTTTTTCTCTAAAGTAAATATGTGATTTTCGTTATTTAATTATTCATCAATACCGTTAAATATTAATATTACCGTAATATGTTATTTAACCATTGGTGTAATAATATTATGGAATTCTTTAGTGAACGATATACCGGATGGCGTACAAAATGATCGAAATCCACCCGTGCTCGGTCTCGGCCTAGATCCCATCAAGATTCGGCCTAACTTCTTTCAAACTCTCTATGCCATGCTACGTATAAGAGTGCTCAGACTCTTCAGAAACCTCCAACTGCTGTACTTCACCATCATCATGCCCCTGGCTCTGATAGTGCTCGGACTCTATGTGAACAGTATTCGGACGGTCGATGTTAAGTTTGAGTCGCTACAACTTAATAGCCGTAAGTGATTGCAACTTATGCAAAATAGGAGATAATAGCTCGACTCTTTTTTTTCAACTTATTTTTTAAACAAGTATTGTAAATCAGTTCTCTTTAAAGAACAACGTTTCCAAGTCGTCTTGATGCAAAAATATTATCTTATACATATGTAAGATTTTTGTAAAAATTTGGAGAATTATTACATATTTAAACATGTGTCCCTAAATTTACGGATACGGATGATTAAAATTAGTTAGGTAATATACATATTATAATATATCTTCATATCACAGAATTAAAAATTGTTACTGCGAATCAATCAGATTCATGAATTTATGGGCAAATGTAGCCATTTATTTGATTAAAAAAATTGTATTTTCGAAGCTTGATAAAAATGTTACTATTTTTGGAAAATCAATTCAATCGTGGAATGCTTTCTCTCTTTCTTAGGTACATACAACGAAACCGAAATCGTCTATCTAAATAATACCGACCAGGACATTACCAAGTTGATAGACAGCATAGCTCAAGACGCGAAGCACATCGAAGAGTATGATGGCAATTTCGCGAATTTAATGAATATCGCGCCGCACATAGCCGCCTTCAACATTAATGATTATAATCTACCACGACTCAATCTGACCGTTACGTACAACGACACGATGCAACATTCCCTTCCGATACTGATAAACATTCTTTCGAACGCTTATTATAGGTAAGTTCGCGAAAAATTAAAGAGGTTCGGTAGTTTGTAAAATATTTGAAGTACAAAAATTCTTTAGAGATAAGAGTTGCTCAAAGAATTACATTTATTGTAAAACATTTTGAAAAACATAAAATCGCAAAAATATTAACATAAAAGATTTACAAATTCATTTCTTAACAGTTTTAATTTTTATAAGAAATAAAAAAGATTAGTTGGATACAACAAATATGCATCAAACAGAGTGATATTTTTATGAATTAAATTTTTATTTAGATTGATATCGGGAAAAAACGAAGCTACGCCGATCGAAGTCTATACACATCCCTTCCAGCAAACATCGCAACCCCAACAGTTCAATATCGGCGCGGCCAGCTGTGCTACACTCCTCGGCATGGTTTTCATATTATTGCCAATTACTTTAGCGGTGGACATGGTTTACGATCGCGAGGTAAAAGTTTTGCTGTTAAATTCTAACTATAGATCATACAAGCCATGTTTCAGCTTCTATTTTTCCGCTAGACATTTTCTGTTTAATTAGAATTTTCATAATATAATATTTAGCATTCTAGTAATAATAGCATTCAAGTGTCTTAACAATTCATGCTAAAAATTAAACAAAATATCTATTAACGTGATTCTTACTTGAAATTAGACGGGTGAGTTTTTCTTTTGTCTGTTTTAAACGAAACAAATGTTTTACATAGATTCTAATTCTTGACATTATATATTTGTTTAAATAAAAAATGAAATTTTTGTATCTAAAGTCGATCGAAAAGTTCAGCAAATATAAAGTTAAAATTTAATGAGGTAATTTTTTCAGGGAGATTTTATGCGTAATATAAATATTTTTCAGATCAAAGCGAAGAATCAACTTCGCGTGAATGGCCTGTCGTTCTCCATGTATTTTCTTAGCTACTTCATTGTGCTACTCGGCCTGATGACTTTCATCTGCCTGTGCATCCTCGGCATCATATTCATCTTCGATGTGCCTTCGCTACGGGAAATACCGGCCATCATCACCCTCGGCATTCTCATCATGTTCTACTGCCCATCGTCTATCCTCTTCTCTACATGTCTCAGTTACATCTTCGACAAGTTGGACTCCGCGCAAAGCATGTTGCCGAACATCGCGACCTTCTTCGGGTTGCTACCGTTCATCTTCGTCATGATCCTCGATATGCAAGGATTCGGTAAGTAGCAATCGATGCACTCGGACCATCTTCTCACTTTCTTCCAGTAGAATTGCGATGGAAAGGCATATTTTTCAATTTCGAAGTCTAATTCGCGATGTTACTCATGAAATGAAACTATTCATATCTTTTTGCTTTCAGTCTTGTATTTTTGAAATATTTTTTTAACAGTCAGATTTAATTGTGAATGCGTCTGCTACAAATTTTATTGACAGAATGTCAGCAAAAGTACATATAACAGAAATTAATAATAGAATATAACGGCAGAGACTGCAAAAACTGAGTGGAATCTGTCATTTCTTAACTACTTAAATAATGTATTCCATTTAAATGTTAGCAAAGTGACAGATTCTATTCGATTTTTATCAGTAATCTGTTTGCAAATTATATTAATAGATTTTGCCAGCAAGAGTTTAACGCGGACACAGATAATACCGGATTTGTTGCAATATCTGAAATCTGTTGCCATATGCTGCTACAGTTTGCTTATTGAGGAGCTACAATCTAGACAGCACACGTGTCTAAAAGGCATCATAAAGATATCTTTAAGACATCTTTTAGACGTACGTATCTAATACGGCGTCTACAATGAGACTTTAAGACGTAAGACTAAAAAATTAATCAATCATAGTCGAATGTGAAGACAATACTCGACTGTAATTGGCCAATTTTCTAAATCTTATATCCTGAAAAGACAACTTAATGACGTCTTAAAGATATCTTTTAGATATGCATGCTATCTGGGAAGTCTTCGATTTTGAATGTCAGTTTTTAACTTGCGGCATTGTCGATTGATGGGACAATTTATGTATCTTTTCCTCTTATCTTTATTTAAAATTTCGGTATTACAAGCCTCTTGTAATTGTTTTTCTTGAAACCTCATACATTCACCAAGACGGGTATACATTTTGCGGCGTCTACAATGAGATCTTTAAGACGTAAAATTTAAGAAAGCGACTTGTCACAATCGAATGTGAGAAGAATGATCGACTGCGATTGGCCATTTTCTTAAATCTTACGTCTTAAAGATCTCAATGTAGACGCCGCATTAAAGTTACAAAATCTATCACGTTACGATCTGTTGCTCAAGGTGGGACAGCTTCGTTCGCGTTGCACGTGGTCTTTTGCCTATCGAACAGCATGTACGTACCATATGCGGCGGTATACTACGTGGATCGCGTTCATTTGATGTGCTCCATCAACGCCGCCTGCCACTATCTCGTCATGTCTGATTATCTCACCACGGAGATCATATTGTTGGCTTTTGGCGCGCTGCTGCAATGCCCGGTTTGGTTCTTCGTGCTACTTCTGCTGGACATCAACAAGAACGGCGGCAATGTCAGCGATATCTTTAAACGCTATTTCCTGGTTAGCACAAATTATCACTTAAATTTTTTACTGTTAATTATATTTTTCTTTTCACATACAACACATGCAAAGTTGGCTATTGTTAAGTTTCGTATGTGTGTGTGTGCGTGTGCGTGTGCGTGTGTGTGTGTGAACATTGCAATTAAAATTATTCGATTGCTTCTCATAGAAAAGAATTACAAATTTCTTAATTTTTCATTTGTTTTTCTAATTTACTTGCATACATATTTTTTTAATTATATAATCTAACACTGATTTATGAGAAAACCCATTATAATTTCTTGCGTAAAATATGTAAGTATACATTTTTGTTAAGAATAGAGTTATACAATTTTTTGCTTATTTAATAAATGAATATTGCAAATCTTTTATATAATTTAATATACATATACATTCCAGCTATATTATTTATGAGCGAATAGTCTTAAATCCATTAAAAACTACTAAAAGTATCTCTGATTCGAGATATATATTTGTAACACAAGATGTTACCTTTTCCATTCTTGTAGCAAGGTGGCGATTCCAATCGTGAGGAAATCATGGAAAATTCCGACATCGGCGAACACGAGGATGTGGATGTGAAAAACGAGCGGCAAAAGGTTTTCAATATTGTTGTTTCACCAGCCCTCAGTCAAGAGCCGCCGCTAGTATTGCTTCAGGTAAGTTAGTTTACAGATTAAACAGTCTGTCATTGAAAATTTTTTAAATAAAATATCTAGATACTTTGCAAGATTTTGTTCGATCTATATTGCATTTAAATATCTTAATTCTGTATACAAACTTAATCACACACATAGTCTGTTTTGACTTAAACAATTTTAACAAACAGTTTTAACTAAAACAATTTTGCCACTATTCGGGTTGATTTGATCTATATTCACCGCGATGCAACATTATTCCTGTCAGTGCGATCTTCTATTATCTCACGCGTCATGAAACGCACGATTATAGAATCTGCGAAAGGAGTATCGACCAAAGGAATCGGGATCATCCTGCTGCTCAAAGCGCGAGGAAGAGCGGAAGGTCGCCGTGCGAAATCTCTCGTTGGCGGTGGAACCGGGCGAGGTACTGGGCCTGCTGGGCCACAACGGCGCCGGCAAGACTACGACGATGAAGATCATCATCGCCGAAGTGACACCGACAAAGGGCAGGATACAGATCAGTGGCCATAGTATCAATACTAATATAGCAGAGGCTTTCCGACAGATGGGTTATTGTCCTCAACACGACGCTCAATGGAAGAATATCACCGTGAGAGAGCATCTAGAATGCTACGCCGCGATTCGCGGGGTTCCATGGAGCGAAATCGATAGGTGCGTTCTTTTTTTTTCAATATTCATCTAATCCATCTAATAACATACGTAATTTCTTAGTTGGAAAACATAAAATCCACACTGCATTACGAACTTCTTATGACACTGAACTTCTCATTAAGTGATTTATTAATCATGCGAGTCTTGGTATATACTTTTTTTGTATACATATAACGAATTCTTTAGGGATATAATAGTTAACTTGTAAACAATTTAATTCTTATAATCTTAAAAAAATTCTCTTTGGCATCAAAATTCAAACTTAAGATAACACCAAAAATTACTGTAGCACTACTAATTTATTTTAAGATATAAATACTTTTTTATGTGGCAGTTGTCTAGTTTCTCGATTTATAAATTAATACCAACTTTTTTTAACATAGGAGATAGAATGTCATTTAGTTTCGCAATACACGCTTTCTTGTGTATTTCATAGATATAACTAATTCTATTAATTGTTGCAGAATCGTGGATCTATATTTATCCGGTCTACAGATTTATGAACACGCCGACAAGCAGAGCCAAGAATGTTCCGGCGGAACTAAAAGAAAGCTTAGCTTCGCGATGGCAATGGTCGGTGGACCTAAAGTTATTCTTATGGACGAACCGAGCACGGGCATGGACCCCAGATCGAAGAGATTCCTATGGGATACGATTCTCGCTAGTTTTCAAGTAAGAGCACCATACGCTAAAAGTTAAAGCTATTTTCCTTTGTCTTACTCAATATTACATTTATCAATTACATTTTCCTAAACGATATATTTTTACAAGATCCTTAAACTAGATGAAAACATAGTATAAAACTAATACAAGTAAATGGAGAAGATGAATAATAAAGTGATAACAAGAGTAACAGAATTATCACTCAATGTATAGTTAGAAATAATTGACGTTAAAAGATAAAAAATTTTAGTGTAAGTTACATATTAAAAACCTTCCTTCTAAAAATCTGTTTAATTAATAGGGTGGCAGGGGAGTTATATTGACTACCCACTCTATGGAGGAGGCCGATGCACTGTGTTCAAGAGTCGGTATAATGGTGAAGGGTGAGCTGAGATGCATCGGTTCGACTCAGCATTTAAAGAATCTCTATGGTGCTGGTTACACCCTAGAAATGAAACTGCTAGGTGGTGATTGCACACCGACGACACCCTCCGGCGACAGAATTACCGGTTTAAAGGAATTCGTTGCTGGCCTCTTCCCCGACGCCACTCTGGAAGAGAGCTTTGCTGACCGACTAGTCTTTGCCGTGCCCCAACACTCAGTGAACTCGCTAGCTGAGTGCTTTACACAATTAGAGAAAGGTAAGAAAACAGCTTGAAGAGATTAAAGAATTTTTCCGGAGCTCAATTATCGGCCTGTCACAGGTTTAACAAATAAAATCTAAGAATATTTTTTTTATAAAAACATTGGAGAATACTAGAATTAAATGATAAGAAATTCAGAAAAAGTAGTATTATTGGTGTTTTGTTTTATGTCTAGGACGTTTTAATTTGGATATTTTCAATCTGAAATTCTTTAGTTGTAGCAATTTCGAATATCGCTTCTTATTTCTTAATATCGTAATTGCAAAATTTCTAATTTGCAAGATTTCAAACTTAAAAACTTGATCCGATTAGCAGAAAATAAATAAACGGTTGAAAAATAAAACTACGGTTTATAGAGTTTTTTTACTGAAAAACACTTAATGATCCGAAATTAGAATTTCAAAGTCTTCAACTGAGGAATTTAAAATTTCAAACTTAAAATCAATTGTAAAGTAACTTTTTGAAAATTTCTGCTTGCAGCCAAGCTCGAACTGGATATAGAAGAGTACAGCTTTAGTCAAACTACCCTGGAACAGGTGTTCCTCAAGTTCTCGCATTAGGGCACTTTCCTGGAATGACGATGTGCCGTCGTTACGTGATTCAGTGATTGTCTCGCGATCAGTGCCCGCAGAATACTGTTCATCTATGAAAAAAAAATACACGAACATGACAGATGTTTTTAATTGCTTGGTTTCTGGAATTTGCCGATCGTTAAATTGTGAAACAATTTTCGTTGTTCTCGCTAACGAATTATGTGATTACGCCATTGACAATGTGATGAAATATATAAATTTCTTGTTACAAGGCGTCGCAGATAACAGAACAGCAAGCATAACAGTTATCTAAAGATTCTAGTGTTGTATTACAAAGGAATAGCAAAGAGACACATCATCTTGTGCCTTCAAATCCTTGGAGGGACAATGAAGAAACAATTAGGTAGACTGATGGAAATGAGGAATAGAGTGGATAATCTTTATTTCGAAGCATTAAGATGACAAGCCATTCGGGAGCTTGATAAAACGCTAAATGAAAAAGAGATTGTGGTGAAAAATAGGGAACAATTAAAAAATCATCGCGTTTCATGATGAGACGAAGAATTATTTAATTGTTCCAAAGTATTGGAAAAGTAATTAGGAAATTATAGAACAATGAACAAATAGGAATGTGTTGTGTTTAAAAAAAAAAGCGAACTAAGCTAAATTCGAGACTGATAAAAGCAAGAATGAAGAAAACATTAAGTGTTGGAGCGATGGAGAGTAGTCAATCAATCGTCTCACCGTTATACGTTCGACAGCAGTATTAAGATGATAGAAAACTAGGGATGAAAATGGCAGACAGATAGATAGCTATCAAAGCCTAGATTCAAGGGAATGTTAAAATAACTAGTCGCTTTGTAGCTCCAAACGGGCAGAATGATGAAGAGCCGAGAGAACTATAAGGGAACACACACACTCGTTAGCTACTAGTCCTAGCATGAAATTTCGAAGGAGCATTAAGACAGAAATTGTCTTGCTTTGCCAAGGAAGAAACGTTGACGAAACGTTGAAGATATAGTAAGATGGAACATCACAGAAACGTTAAAATTCTTTAATTGCAAAATTAAAGAGGAAAGAGGAACTTTAACTATCAAGATGGTAAAAATTGTCTCGTTACTGGAAAATTAGCGATCGAGAAATAATGGAGTTCTAACGTGAAAATACTTTAAGGAGCTGCGGAACAAATCAGTTCAGGTTGAAGAAATGGGCTGGAGAATGATGGAGCATAAAGTTAATCTTTTAAATGGTGCTTGAAGAAGGTGTTGAGACGACAGATCGCCTTTGAGTTATCGGAGGAACGACGATTGATAGAACAGTGGAACAGTTAGGAACAAATAGGAATCTAATAATAGTGTCTTTCCTTTAGGAGAACGTCAAGGTGACAGGGTGGACGAGAGAGAGAGAGAGAGACGTTGACGGTGGTGTGTTATTACTGCTCGTGTCAGTGGTCGAACGCAATTGCCCTTCGCGAAAGAAGACTCTCTCTACAAAGTTTTGTGTATTTATTCTATAAATAGTATCGCGAGGGTACATACTATGGAGATATAGTTGCGATTTGAGAACGAGCTCCCTATTAACGGTGGAGCATTGCTGTTCCCAAAGCTGGGCTTTACGCTCGATATTTCCCACGAAGATTTTTATCTGACGTCTCTATCTCTCTCATCGGCATTGTTTTATCTGTAAACGTCGCGTTTGAGAGAGGTGGGTTCTCCGCTATCGGAGTTCGACGTCCGAGGGTGAATGTCGGGTGTGAACACAGCGATGTGCGAGGAGTGAACATCCTCGTGGCATAGAGTCGAGATTACGTACTGATAGTTCACTTCGTATTTGAAAACTTACCGATAATAGATCTCGTACCGATATTGCACTGGAATTGGAGCACACGTCCCGTTGTTTTCAGGCAGGACGGCTCGTTCGCGGTAGCTGCAATCCGATAGATCGGCTCGAGAAGATGACAACTTCTTGGTAGGCCACATAGTTACCGAAAAAGTCTTTATATCGTAATCACACACATGCCGGTAAATCCAAACTGTAATTCCTGTATTTACTATAGTATTATTTTATCTGCAATCTTACGCGATTGTTGACTGCAGAAAATAGGTAATCCAGACTTGATGAAAATTTATGAACTCTTGAGGCATATTGAAATTCAGCGATTTCTCTAAATATTTTTTGTTTCTTCTATTTTTTTCTTTACATCTAGATGTTACTCAGGGATTTTTTTCAATATTTTTTCTATTTTTTCTAATAAGAACTAAAACGTACACGTTCAATATATAATATTTCTAGTTAAATAAATCCTTGATAAGTATTTGTATATAACTCTAGATTTTATAGAATAACAATAATTGATTTCAGAAAAAAATAAAAATGATTATTTTTCTATTATTGGCAAAATACATAGTATAATACTAAGATACTGAGAATTTATAAAAATAATAAAAAACCGATCAAAATTGAATCCATTTTCTTGAGCCTCGATTTCAAAAGTCTGATACGAAATGAATGCCGATTTCTTCTCATTCATCTACTGCGTACACTCAACTATTATGAAGGAGCGCAGATACAGTATTATAAATACTTTCTAGATGAAATTGCAATAGATATTTTTCGAGTTAGAAGGTTGAGAATAGATTTGCAATAACATGAGATTTTTCAACTTGCCCACTTTTTGAGCCGAGCTATCGAAAAGTAGAGCCGACGTGAGTCCTATCGGGCTGTATGCATCGAGTTACGAGAAGTGTTCGAGAAGTAGCTTCTATCGAGGAATATAATTACCGCAAATGCACTGATTACTTAAAATCTTTTGGCCAAGCTTTTTACTTGAATCTTCGAATTTCGAATATGACGCAACGTTATGTGGAATCGATATTTAATATTTGTACTCATTATAATTCTCGGAAAATTAAGAAAAATGCTTCCTGGGAAAGACATGGGAAACGAGACGAGAAACACATCAGAGTCGTTGCGGTTTGCATTTACGGGAATTAAGAGAAATATCGCGCAATGTCAATTTTGTTAACTGATGCCGCGATACTGCGATTGGCAGATCGGATGATATTTTATTCTCTTTTGATAAACGAAGAGATTAACGTGCCTTGAGTTCAGTATATGTACATACGCGTAACTTGAAGAAGCTGAGAAGCGTAATTGTCGGCTGCAGTCATGCTGCTTACAAGAGAGAAGTGTGATTGTTCCTGGAGAACTACGAAGTGCCCGTAGTATTCTCTTCTGTCTTGTTACTTTTGTTCTAGCAGTCCAATGTGATTGTTTTCCGGAACTCGAGAAGCGTTGTATTATTTCTCGAACACCTCTCGCATTTTCTACACACGTAATTAAGGATTACCCCCGGGGAGGGCCGTAGTCGTAACGAGAAAACGCAAGAATGACACGGCTTATAGTCTCGAGCGCAACAACTAGAACGTTTTTCTTGTGTGATAACAATCGTACGGACACTCTTTACCGTTGAACATCGATTGAATAATACAGCGAACGATTCCGAGAGAAAAAAAAACAGTTACAGTTGAAGATACTGTTAATATTGTAGGTTTAACTCTTTGCACACGGCAATCCTGTTTTACACGTTATTATACTTCTCAATTGAAGGAAGATCTTGTAAAAAGAAATTTAAAAAATAAAATTTAGTTAACAAACAATGTTACATTTTTCTCTTCTGTAACTAATTAAATGTTCCGTGAAAAACTTTTACGTGATGATTATTTAATTTCATTTTGTGTGTGTGTGTGTGTGTATGTATATATGTATCTATACATATACATATAATATTATACAATCTCGCATATATTTCTTTAATTGGTTTCGTACCATCATTCGAGTGTAAAGAGTTAAGTCAAATTTTCTTTCGAGAATAATTTCGCATACTTTAGTCAACATAAGGGAGGAAGAACTGATCAACATTAAGCAATATATACGAAAAAATGAAATAGGTACGAATACGTAATTGAAGACATGAATGGTAAAGGGCGTCAATTAAAATTCGCGATCGATCGTTCGATCAGGTCGAGAAAATATTTTAGTCCCTTCCATAAACAAATTATTTGTAAGATGTACCCGAATTGATTTATATATTATTTACAAATATATGTTGTACAGACTATCCCAAGTTCACTGATTTTGCTTTTAACGACATTCAATGTATCTCTTGAAAATTTTTGGTTTAATTTCTCATCAAACAAAAATTCAATGAACCTTCCTAATTTTTTCATCTTCAATCTTATGGCTCGTGATATCCTTACTTATCAAGCAGACAAATTTGAACTTTTCAAAATAGTGTCACCAGTACCAAAAAAAATCAATTTTTAAAAAACTGATTTTTTACATTCTTATATTTACGTGTTGTTCTTAAAAAAGAGAGAATAAGAGACGCGCAGTGAATTTGGAACAGCTTGTATATAATGTTATTAATAATTGTTGTCAACATAGAGTAACTTGGAAGGGAAACATTCCCACAACACGTGTATATAACCTTTCTTGGTCCTATAAAAAAAGAAGAAGTAATATGCTTTTTATACAAATATCATTCACCGAGATTTTAGAATTCCGCTATTATTAATTTACGAAAGATCCGGGATGATAAATATTCTTATTATCCAATTTTTCAGATAACATAGTCGAACTGAATAAACTTTATCTAACATGAAACTGAAATGATTGACTTGTCTCTCTTTCTGCCACAAAATAGTAAATTTTATGTAATCAACTTTATTGCAAAAGTGTTAATATTTTGGCAGTATTTGCGTTATTTTTATTTTACAGAGACGTATATACATAGCCACACTTATAATTAGAACGTAAAAATTATTTTTTCAGTTAATTCTTAAGTGTTATAGTATTCTAAGTATTTTTAATATTAGCAAGTAGAAATTGAGTTCTTATTGCGACAACATTAAACAATTTATTTAAGATCTATATAATTCTCTGTGACTGTCGCCTCAAAGCAAATTCTTAATTTCTTCTTTGACTGTCTATCACACATTTAATATAATTACTTAAACATATGATAACTTGTTATTATAATAGCTTCAAAGCATAATTTTTACTGTTATTTATTATTTAATAAATTGTTATTATAACTAATTCTATTATCGTTAGACCCGGTTTCATCAACACACCACATCCCTAGTAGCATGGACCAAACATTGGTTAAACATTGGTCCAATATTTGGTTGTATTGAACCAGTGGTTAGCCAATAAAAATACACTGTGCTACTAGGGATCGCTTAGCTTTAACTTTAACTTAACTCATTCTTTGAGTTGTATTAAGAATAAAGTTAAACGACATTGGTGAAACCGGATTTCAGGCAGACTAATTAAATTATTATTTAATAAATTATCGCATCTAGTATAATTATATATATATCTAATATAATGTATGTAAAAACGTAATTTGCATGCAAAAGTAAAGCTTTTTATGTAAAGGCTTTACATTTTATCAGGAAAGGAAAAAGCATTGTGTGATAGAAAATTGAAAGAGCTTCTGATAAACCTGCGTTATGTCCTTGTGAAAAAACAGATTAAAAAAAATTTACGCAAATTTAAACTGCAAAATCGAATTCTTGATTTTAAAAAATCAACAATTTGTTAAATTATTTGAATTTCTACTCGTTTCTTTCTATTATTATTGATATCAATTCGTATTTTTTTGTAAACAGGTGGTCTTGAAAAATCTTTTCTGATTCTTTTTCTATTGTATAAAGTGCGCACAGTAGCAGAATTAAATATGTGAAACACAACAAAATTTATTATAACATTTTCACAAAGTTGTTTATACTATTTATAGGTTAACCAAAAAGTAATGGCAAAATTTTGTATATTCACGATGACGTAAATGATCACCAAAGATGGATTTCGATATTTTTAATATCTTAGCTATCTTTTGTGTTATTTAACGTGGATTATGTTCAATTAGAATGGATAGTTGGTTATCAATCTAGATCTACTAAAGCGTTTATTATCAGTCAGACTAAAACTTCCATAACGATATTTTTTAAGTCATCTTTGGACCATTCATTCGTTTACATCGCATTACCATGCACATAGAAAATCTTTCTTGTTATTTTTATCCCCCTTGTGTTTCTTCCTTTACAGAAATAAAAAAGTGTAATTGTTCGCCTTCATGTTACTCATTTTCGAAACAAGGACGTAAGAAAAGTAAAGGATAGGAAAAGGCAATGCGAGCTTTACGCAGTTAATAAGGCGTAGTCTTTAAAATAGTCAGGACCAATTTAATATTCAAACATAAAATACAAACGTTTTGATTCACTCCGGATCATCTTCAGTGGACAAAAATAACTAAAAATAATAAAAAAGGTTTCCTCGTAAATTCAACAGAAAATACAACAATTTAAGAGAAGGAGAATACCAACCACACATTTAAATGTAGAAATATAAAATTTATCTTAATGTCTCTCGAGATGAACGTTGCAGTCTCTCTCTCTCTCTCTCTCTCTCTCTCTCTCTCTCTCTCTCTCTCTCTCTCCCCCCTCTCTCCCCCTCTCTCTCTCTCCCCCTCTCTCTCTCTCTCTCTCTTTTCTCTCTCTCTCTTCTCTCTTCTCTCTCATATTGGTAGATGTAATAGTCCGTATAAATTAATTTTCGTGAAGGGTAAGAAAATTTAACCAAACGTAATAATATTTTTTAAACCACGCATTGAAGTGTTAGTTCTCAGAACATATTATATTTCCCTTTCTAAGAAAGAGATGTTACCAACGCAAATGTCGTTAATATCGAACGGTTGAGGCTTCTTTTCCGCGTTGCCGATTTGGTTTTCTTGAAGCGTGGTGTGCTTCACTTTTCTTTTAGATTCATAGTAAATGAAGACTTGCAATTTAGAAATATACATTTGTATACACCAACTATTCAGGTAAAATCTCTAATCTTAGTAATTAGAATTTAAGTAACAACGATTTCCGATACATTTTCTCGAGTGAACAGATATTAATCGTTAATTTAATCAATACTAATAAGTCCGCAGAATGATACACAAAACGTAGTAACAGTCGCGGAACAAGGTAATGTAAAATATTTAGTACAGTATTTTCAATTTCGTAGGTGGGACAACGAACTTTCAACGTTTTTTTTTTGTTGTTTTTCTCTCGGCGCGGTATCGTACGACGTTACGCGGGCCATTGTTTATGAAGGTCGCTGCGCTATCAGTCGCTCGCCGAACGTCGGGCCGGCAAGCGGTGGCGAGAGTCGCTCCGTACGTGTTATTACTTTTGCGTTACCAGTTTCCAAGACTCGATCGCGATGAATGTAGGGATAAAACGCTATTAATTTGTACACCTTTATCAGTAACAAGTAACGTTCCTCGATTAATTATTCAGTTTCTACAACTTGTAATGAGAAACGAATTGCGTGTTGAGGCGACGGCTCTTTATCAACGTATACATAGAGATTTCACGAGACAAACTCATCTAAATTATGAATGTAAACCGTGGTATTTTATCGCGGTTACATCTCGTTTACGCACCGCGCTTTTAATTATCTATCGGTTTCGTGTAATCTGTTCCATTTTCGGGAAAAGAGAGAAGTTTGTGCGACTTCGGCGTTCGCATTGTAATTCACTCTGTCTTTTTTCATCGCATGCGGGAGTGTCCGAAATTTTGCGCGATCGATGATTTTCGCGAGTGAGTGTTGTGCAACAAGTGAGTGCAACAAGAAAATCTATAAGAGAAGGAGAAGACTTAGGGGGCATCGGGCAACGGCGGAGAAATCGTGAGGTAAGTGTCTTACATTATTATGTTATTTGTTACTTGTTACTTGTGCAAAATAAAACATCTGTTCTGAGATTTTATTTTATTTATTCAAATAAATCGAACGAGGATTCAAATAAGTGTTAGAGACAAAACCATACGTATAAAATTTTGTGGAGTTTGTTGCAGAGACCTATTCTTATTGCGATTTATTTATCAAATTCGCACAATATTCACTTACAGAAATGCGGTTCAATATAATTGCCATTTATGTATAAAATACTCCCAAAGTTAACTGTTCCTGAGGTTCTACGATATTTCGAATAAGATCGCAGATCATGCGAAAGTTATACACGATGCGATCAAAGTTCGGAGAACTCTTTTCTTATTCTTAATTGGATATTTGGATGCAAAATTAAACATGAGCTAATTTGCATACAAAATGCACGGACTATCTATAAATAAACGAACTCAAGAGCTGAATCAGGTAAATTTTCTAAAAATTTGTACCCATTAAGAGCAGGTTGTTCCTTTTGGTAAGTTAACTGTTAGTTAGTTTAATGTTGGGAAAACCGGCCCTAAAACGCGCAAATTTGCCAGAATTGTTACGTGAAATATGCTTAAACTTCATGTCTCTGTGTCACATAGTTTAGCAATCAAGTATTTTTTAGTAATTAAGGGAAAATGAGTTAAAATTGTTTGTAACAAATTGTTTGTTACTTTCCATGCGAAGCAATTTTATTCAACTTCTATATTTCTTATTAATAAACTGTTTTTATTTAAAGTAGCAATCATGATACGGCACGAATTGTAAATTTAATTTATTACATTGTGATTCAACTTCTATATTTCTTATTAATAAACTGTTTTTATTTAAAGTAGCAATCATGATACGGCACGAATTGTAAATTTAATTTATTACATTGTGATATTCCTTGACAGTTCTCTTGTAGTTTCGCCCATGTTTATACACATTTTAACAATTAAAAGTTTTCCCATTAAATGTCTGTAAAACATTTTTCAATTTTACTGCTAGCATCTCATTTTTGGAAACTTTTAGCGGTGCTCTATTTCCATATGTTTGTTTGTGACAGTTTTCGACCGTTCTCGCATATAGTTGTACATTTCTATATGTTTTAACAGTAATTCTCAGACACGATCGCCGGTTTAAAGGAAGCCGTAATACAATTATACATGCGTATCTATTCATCAAATGCATTTATGCATACTTTATTATGCCATTAGAATCTATAAAAATTTAAAATTTTTCTACAATATTATCATTTTTTTACTATATCGCTTTGTTTAATAAGAACATCGCATTATTTCTAAAAAACGTGTTCGTTCCAGTAAATGATACTCTGTCGAGTTCACAGAAGGCTGTATGTATATCACTTATGTATCTTATTTAAGGAAAAGTATAAATGGTTTTATACATATATTATAGAAAAAAATACTTAGCGCGAGACGTTACCGCGTCTTTCACGCGGAGAATTGTCTCTTAAAATTTACCCGGAAGATTACGTAATTGTAGGACAACATAGCGTTTTGAAGAAGTCTATAAGAGTAAAACAAAATTTTACATGCATACAATTTACTAGTAAGATGTACTAAAGTATAATTATTAGTAAAATTTCCACAAACTAGCATAAAATTCTTGGAAATGCCGTGCTGTTCCACGATTACCTGACTTTCAGAATACATTTTAAGAGGAAATTCTCTCCGTGTAGATTATAACGTATAATATTGCTCTTACATTGTATGTATAATTTTATACATGTATTTATTCTGACAAACTATTTATTTCGTAAAAGTTATAGAGAAGTATAATGATAATTATAACTTTAATGAGATACTCTTAATGAGATACGAAATGATTCACAGCTCTTTCTTTTTCTCACAGCTTCTTCTTTCAAAAATTAAAATTTTTGAACCGTTTCTGATATAGATTTTTAGCGAAAATTAGAAAGAACTGTGAATCATTTCTTATCTCATAATTCATTCACTTCGATTTATTCCGTGTCCAATACGTTACGATTTAAAGATAAAATATTTGATTATGTCAGCAACTGCGCACAGTACTATGCAAGATTAAGTCGACAGTTACTAAATACACGTAATTAATTAATCAAATCTCGTATCTCATTAAGAGTATCTCATTAAAGTTATAATTATCATTATATTTCTCTAATTAATTAATTAATCAAACCAACCACCAAATACACCGTTACCCGAATAGTTAACTTTGATAGTATTCCATAAAGAAAATAGCGAACAAGTTTAATAAAACAGGGGGAATAAAGAAAATAATTATTTTAACTTTCTAACTGGTCTCACTACTGGTCGAAGATAATTCCCACAATTTGGCGAAGGTTAATACACGGATCTCTTGATTCGACAACAGGATAGCGTAGTTCCTCTCGAGAGATTGTTTTATTTCTGTTTCTATTAATGAGTCAGTACCGAGGTCAACTAAGTGTCTGTTACGATCAACCGAATTAACATCTTGAATGCCTAGAATAGCAGCAATGGTTGTGACAAGGTTTGTCTTGTTGTCGTCATCGGGTTTATATTTCTCAGCCAATACAATAGAAGTTAACACCGAGTGCGGTTGTTGAAGAAATATATCCATCGTCGCAAGACAACTTGATACATCTTGTCGTAGAAAACCCAACATCTCGACGTCGTTATCTGTCATTTCTGAAAACATAACAGAATCGAAAGAGGAAATATGATTATGAAACATACAATTTAAAGTATTTGTACAATAAATCTAGAACAACTTTATGCAAAGTATAAATACGAACTAACTAACAATATTTTAGTACTAGTGTCTTATACATAATCGTGTTTAGAAAAGTACAGAATTAAGACGTCAGTCAAGATTGAGTTTACGAAACTAAAGAAAAGATAAATTGAATAGTTTCGATCCTTCGATTCAGGTCTTCACTAAAACTCTTGATGTATTGATGATGTATATTACCTGTTGATATGCCAACCACTTTGAAGGAACCCCATTGAATGGCGAGACCGGGTAAACCATTAGCCTGCCTCCGTTCCATTAGTCTCTCCATGGTTGAATTCGCGAAACCGTAGTTGGTTTGACCAACCTTGCCGTAACCACTCGATGTGGATGAGAATACCACAAAGTAATCTATCGATGGGCATAGCTTCCTGGATACCGCATCTAAATTCATTGTTACATCAACTTTTGGCAACATGACTGCTTTGAAATCACCCTCCGTCTGATTTTCGATCAGAGCATCGCGGAGCACAGCTGCCAGATTGAATATACCGCCTACCGGAGCGAGTCGGCTGGTTTCTTGAATTAAGCGTTCGGCACCCGACAATATCGTAACATTCACTGTGGATATTACAATTTTCACGCCGATTTTGCGCCAGCGACGCACGCATGCTGCCTGGTAACCGGTGCGAATACCTGATCGCGATACAAGAACAATGATTCTGGCACCGCGAGCGATCATCCAATCGGTCAGTTCTAAACCGAACCCGCCGAGACCACCGACCAGGATGTACGATTTCTCCGGATTCATGTAAGTACGTGAGATCGCGGCCACTGTCTTTGACATTGGTGATACATGCTCCTTTGCTTCTTCATCACGAATTTTCACCAGCACTTTGCCAATATGCTTGACTGCTGCCATAAATCTGAATCCCTGCTCGAGATGGTGCTCCGAAAACACAGTTGATTGGAGAGGTCGTATTGCGCCGTTCTTGATTCCCTCCGAAATGAATTTACTAAGTTTCTTTTTCCCCGTATTATTTTCTTTAAATACCATATCCAATAATATACTGTGATAAGTATTTTTTATAAACATTGACATCTTGACGCTGCTGTCATTCGACAAATCATATATGTTGACGTCAAGGAAACGGCCACCGAACGCCAGGCACCGAATACCAGCTTGTAATTTCTCACCTGTCAGTGAATTCAGTACGACATCAACTCCACGTCCTTGCGTCTCAACATTTATGAGCTGTTCGAAACTCGTATCTCGGCAATTGCCAATGCGTTTGTCATTTAACTGCGGAAAGATTTTCTTCAAGTATTTTCTTTTATCTAGCGTGTCAACGGTAGTGAACACGGTACAATCAGCGTGCAGAGCAATGGCGATCGCTGCCAGACCGACGTAGCCTGTACCATCGTGAACTAAAATGCTTTCGCCAGCTTTCAATTGACCTCGTATAAACAAAGCATAGTAACTATTCGCGTAAGCGATAGGTATCGTTGCTGCCTGTTCCAACGACCACTTGTCGGGTACCTCCCAAAGGAAATCGAGATCCGCGACCACTGTGGTGGCCAGTCCTCCAGCTTCGACTATACCCATCACGCGACGACCGTCAGCATCCCTCCCGGAAAATCCACGTCCCAAGAGACATTCTTCGGTAATTATATTGCTCGCCTGAGTATTCAGTGACATCTTACCACTCGCCAACGTGATATCCCTGTCGTTCATATATAATTTATTCATGTGTCACGCTTTTATTATCTAAATGTCAGTGAGTAATATTGAAATATACCTGCAGCTCAGTGGAGCATAGTAAACGCTGCAAAGTTTCATATTGGGAAAATTGTCGGGACGATAGTAACTTAACGGACCTTCGATCCATCTCAAGCTACTGAGGTCTCCTCTTGTCAATGTATTTACATAGGCGTGTTTCGCCTGCACGGAAGAAACAGTGCTCTTTTGATCCAATGACAAGTATCGATAACTGCCCCACTGTTCCCCTTTCAAAACGTTTGCCATCAATCCTTTGTCCAATTGCTCCTTATAAAACTGTACGAATAAGCTAAACGTGGGAGCATTCTGGTCCTGGATAAAAACATAACGGAAATTTACATTGCTTAACTCGCGTCGCATGCAAGTCATGAGTCCAACCAAGCCTACGGATAAAAAATGACAAGACATTCCTTTCTGTTTATCATATAGTTAAAGAGACACTTTAAAAGTTTGAGAAACATTTTCTGTAATCTTACCAAGCGTTTCTTCGCCCTGGGATACAAAAAGAATTTCTTGACCTCCGTCGTCGAATTTCTTCACTGCTGCTTTTATTTCTTCCAGCCAGGACAGATTTTTCTCTGTAATCTGAATTACTATTGGTTCTATCCTTTTCTGTCGCTTCTTCAGCAACAAGTAAGTCTTTTTCGCGGAATCCGTTTGTTTTCCGGCCAATGTTAGATCAGTGTCTTTCAACACAGTCTCCAAATCCAGTTGCGCTGCGGTTTCTTCCAGAAGAATAAAACAACCAGGTTTTAAGTTAGCGACCAAGTTTTTGAGAACGGTATGAGACTTATTAGATAGAACGTCTGCCGCGATAACAAGGTGCACGTCCTGAACGGTAAGTGCTTTATTTATATCGTGCGTTACAATGTCAGCGTTCACGTTCATTTGCTTCAAACTCGCCCTGTATTTATCTGCTGAAACTGTGACGATTTGTAAATTAATCTGAAAGAAACAAAGCGATTTTGTATCCAAATATTGAAGAAAGATGCAGTTTATTTAAATGAAAATACTAGGCGGAAAGATTCTTCAAACCTAAAGCCGCCTGTCAAATAACAGAATGTGATTTCTTACTTTGCTTTGTAAATACATAATTCGAAGAATATCGAATAAAAAAATTCAATCTTGAGGGAGAACGAAACAAACAAATAAGTTATTAAAATTCTTTGGTATTCTTACGATAGGCGAGCCCAGTTGGTTATCGGAAATTTTTAAAATAAGTGGCGCCAAGAGAGCTTCCGCAGCTCGGTCGCCTGCGACTTCCACGGTCTTCAGTTTCAACGTCATTATATTTTCATACACAATCTGCAAAAGGACAGTGAGCGCGTGCATCCTTCCTCCCATTGCATCCTTTACTAGAACGCATGAATTTTCGTAGGGTACGAAAGTGTACTGCTCATATTTAGGATCAGCATGACTCTGTCGTCGAGGCACCAAGGATTCTTGTATTCCTCTGATCTCTATACCACCTGATTTAATAACATTGATGTCTTTGTAGTGATACACTGGCAATCCACCGTTTTTTGGTAATTTGTCAACCAGTTCTCTATGAAGAACCGGATCGATCGCAACATACTGAATATACGATGCTACATGCAATAAGCTGGTGGACACCAAATTTAAATGACACATGCTGTCTATGTACGAAACCCATTGATTGAACCAGTAAAGTTCGCCGGCAATGCCATAGTTATCGCAAAATTTAATTCCATGGAATACACCGCTAAACTCGAATCCGCACAATCTCACTCTCTCGTAAAAGTCCTTGGTATTCAACGGCAAAGTCGTTTCATCTTGAGGCACAACTGGAGGTGGTAAATCCAGCTGATCTTCCCCGATACTTTCGGACACGCGTACGTTTCCGCTGACGACGATCGCATCAGACTCGCAGATCTCGAAATCGCCCGATCCTTTGAAAATAGTTATCGAGAATTTCACCTGTCCTTCCTTTGGGAGAATGGTGGCTCGATGAAACTGTAATTTTTCGAATACTACTGGCAATTGTTCAAAATTGCAGCCGCGCTGTTTTGCCAAAGTTTTCCACACCAAAAACATATAGCCAGCGGCTGGAATAAGATTTCGTCCGTCTATCTGATGTCCTGCCATATACGCATCCGTTTCTTTCGACAGATCTATTTGGGCAATGCACTGTCCCGAGTTGTCTGATGTGTTTTTGAAATCAGGCACATTCCACGTGTCTGAGTGATCCCACCTGACCAAGGACCCGATCATCGGTGTTCCGCGACCGACGGGGAAACTAATCGGTGGATACAATTTGGAAATATGCGGTTGCGCACCGGCCATGTATAGCTTGCCCACGTTAGACAGCAGGAAGGCAAGATTGTCCACATGATCCCGCTGGTGAAGGCTAATATTGGTTACCGTTGGTGATAATGACCTGCGCAAAATTGCCTGTAGTAAACCGTGCGGTGCGACCTCAATCGTTATCGCGTTTTCTGGTATATGCGCGATCGCTTCGCTGAAGAGCACAGGTGACATCATATTGTTTACACAATACTCGGCGGAGTTAAGCTGCGCGAGCGGACTATTCCATGCGGATTCTGGTACGGAGGAAGAGATCCATCTAGACGACCTCTGCTTGGGACTCGGTATGAGTTTCTCGAGTAATGCGTGTAGCTTAGGCATTGCTGGAGCGATGTATTTGCTGTGGAGAGCGTAGCCGGAACTGTTTACCATTTTAACGAAGATATCCTTACTCTTCAGTGTTTGTACGAATTTGTACATAGAATCAGTCGGACCGGAAATAGTAACGGAGTTGGTGGAGTTGTGACAAGCCGGTGTGATATCGGGCGGGCACATTTGTTTGGCCTCCTCCCAAGTCAAACCAACTGCCGCCATTGCACCTGATTCCAGCTTGGACTCTAATAGTGCCTTGCCTCTATAGTAAGCGGTTAAAACAGTCTGTTCCAGCGTAAATGCGCCGTCAGCATAAGCGCAACCCAATTCTCCAGCGGAGTGTCCGACTATGCCGTCCGGATGTATGCCTAGCATCGTTAAAAGATCTATGAAAGCGACCTGCATAGCCGCGATAGACACAAAGGAATTCATCACGTTATCAAATGTTTCGTCTGTGGCGTTCATAATGATATTCATGAGATCGAAGTCGTGGACTGCCAAAGCGTCCGCACATCGTCGCAAACTACGTTGGAAAGTTTCAATGCTGAGCAATTGACGTCCCATGCCTGGCCATTGCGGGCCCATGCCGGAAAGTACGAACCAAATTGGACGCTTCTTGTCACAGCTCGTTACTTCGATCATTTCACGCGTACCATCGAGGCTGAGTATCTCGTAGCCACGAACATTGTGACTGCGGATTTCGTTATTGTGCATTATGTGTAATAACGAAAGAAACTCGTCATCTTGACAGTGCTCTTTTGCTTTATCCAATAACGTGTGCACAGCTTGTTTCGTTCGACCTGATACAGCGACCAATTTGGGCAACAGTTTGGCGTTCAATGGTGATGATAATTTTGGTTTTGGATTACTGCGTAGAATAATGTGTGCATTTGTGCCGCCAAAGCCAAATGCGTTAATACCCACGAGACCACCGTTCCACGGGGTAGCCTTGTCGACAACTCGAATCCGTCCCTCGATTAAGCCAGTAATCTTCGGATTCGGAGTTTTAAAGTGCAAATTCGCGGGTAGCACGCCCGATTCCATCGCGATCACCACTTTGGCGATAGAGCATAATCCACTGGCCGCTTCAGTGTGACCCGTATTGGATTTGACACCGCCTATGAGTAAAGGACTCTTCCTACCTTTACAGAACAATTTGTCGATGGAGTTGACTTCCTCTGGATCACCTGCTACGGTACCGGTACCATGGGCCTCCACGTAACTAACATCTACAGGATTAATTCCCGCCTCACTGTAGATTTCGCGCATTAATCGATTCTGCATTTCACCACTGGGATATGTGATACCCTTGTAGCTGTAGCCGTTGTTGTTTGTTTTCGAGTGAACCACCGTGGCGTATACTCTGCGTGCATCCTTCGCCTTTCGTAAATATATCGCCATTACCGCCTCGCCCCTCACATAACCGTTAGCCGAAGCATCGAACGCTTTGCACTTGCCATCCTCGGACAGCATATTCAGTTGGAAAAGTTGAAGTACTCTGTGTGGTGATAAAGTAAGATTCACTCCACCGACGATCGCAGCATCGATCTCACCCCTGCGTATTGCTGTGGCTGCTTGATGCACGGCGTACAAGTCCGATGAACAAGCAGTGTCTACCATGTAACTAGGTCCAGTAAAGTCAAAACAATAGGATATTCTGTTGGCGAGCATCGTTTTCACAGTTCCGAGCACTTCGTATCCTGCAAGCAGATGCAAGTGTGTCGATTTATTCTCATTGTCAGGAGATATCGTATGACTTCTCTTACGCTACAACAGATCTGTGTGACGAATAGCAAAGTGACCATTGATTGTTCGCACGTATAACGAAGGTAAAACGTACTATTAAAGTGATTTTTTATCTGTAGATCGTTGTATTTAGCGATTATAGTAGATAGAAACTTTGAAGACATTGTCTGAAGAAATATGTGAAGAATTGTCCGAAGAAACATTAAAGTTAAAGTAGGACTCTCTCATTAAAACTATACAAGAAACAAGAATGGCCAATGCGAGTCAAGGCAGGATGTATGTAGCCTATACTTGTAATTTTTTAAAATTGTGAATTCATATACGGTTTCTGTTTCCAGATTTATCCTGCTTGCCGGTTTCTTTTCGGACATAACGCAGTCTTTTGTACAGGAGTAATTATCGTCAGTAAATTCACATATTTAAATCGATAAACGATTCGTAAGTGTATTTAAAAATGCTATAATTTGGCATTTTTAGATGCTACATTTAGTATTTAATCCCCCCTTCCCTGTACTATAATTTATACTTATTGCGATATATATATTTTTTTTAGAGAGAGCTAATATTGCCTCTCTCACTCAGTATTCGAACCTAGGACCTCTCTCAATTTGTAACGGACGTCTTAGCCGACTCGACAACTGATGCTGTGATAATATTATTCGCAATAATTGGTATACTACATAAAGGAGCGCTACTTTTGCAGCTCCTCGTATGTATATAAACGTTAGAATAAAAGTAGGACTCCCATTAAAACTAAAGGCTGAAGAAATATTCGGTATTGTTTCCCGTCAAATACAAACCAGTTAATTCGTCTATTGGCGGCACAAACTCATCCGTTTCCGACCTAGATACACCGATAAACACCCCGGTGCGTGATCCTCTCACGGTCATGGGATTGACACCAGAATCAACTATCGCCTCGTACGCGACTTCTAACAGCATGCGTGCCTGTGGGTCCATTACGTTTGCCATCTTGGGATTTATTCCGAAAAATGAAGCGTCGAAGCTCTTGATGTCCTTGATTTTGCTAGTTCTGGGTAATAACTCGTGCATATCTGCTGTCCAACGACATTCATCATTGGAGACCATATCTACATGGTTCATCAAATTTTCTTTAAACTCCTCAATATTAGACGAATTAGGCAAACGACCTGAAAGAAAACGTTCATTTTTCAATATATTTTGTTCTCATGATACAGCCATTCTCGACCGACAGTTACCTGATATGCCCGTAATGACGACATCATCATCGATGGAATACGGTATTTCATTTCCAAGCGCGGATTCTCGCGCCGCGGGCCTCTTGACAGTTTCAAATTGATCAGACATCTTACTGAAAAAGATGGCTATCGATATCTTTCCGATCCGTATAATTCTCTCCGCGTAGGTTTGTTACTTTCTACGCGAAGCAATTTTATTAAACTTATATATTTCTTATTAATACATTGTTTTGTATAGTAATTCAAAGTGATAATCGTGACACGGCACGCATTATTGTAAATTTAATTTATTACATTGTGATATTTCTCGACAGTTGATCTCTCGTAATTTTGCCCATTTTTGTGCACATTTTAACAATGATTCTCTCCGTTAAATGTCTATAATTTTTTTAACATTTTTTAATCTTACTACTTATGTTTGTTTTTCTTGAGAGTTGATGGTTAAATAAATTTTTTCTACAGTCAAATAGTCGATTGTCAGGATTAAGCTAAGGCGTGACTGTCTGCAGCCGGTACTACGGTACACGAGTGTCCGTTCGAATGGCCGGCACACGATATAATATATTCGCTGTTTTCGCCGTTATATTTTGACTGAATAGTCTATACAAAAACTCTAAAACATCGTTACAATAGCATTACATCGCTTTTAAGCAAGACGAAATAAGTAGAGCGATAAGTCAGGCAAATAATAGGTATTTATATGTCGACAATGTTAGGTAACATTTAAAATGCTTCCAAATATGCATTAAACCATTTATGAAACGTCACGGAATTTAAACTTTATACAGGGCGAGTCATTCCATATCCGATAACATTTTTGAGAAGGTAGAACGGATCGAGATAAACAGAAAAGTCCTGTACCATTTTACAATTTTTCCAATAGATAACGAGTAATTAATTATTAAAAAATTGTCGTCTTAGCCCGTCCTATCGCCCAATTCGAGCGCGTGGCGAAATGTGACCGCCCGGCGATTGATATTGCTATGCGCACGGAAAGTTGTTTATCGCAATCGGCAATGGCTACGGCACTATGTATACAGATCGATTAACAGATCGAGATGAACGGAAAAGTTCTGTACCTTAATTACTCGTTAACTATTATGAAAATTGCAAAATGGTACGGAACTTTTCCGTTCATCTCGATCTGCTCTATCTTCTCACAAATTTTGTCGGATGTGGAATGACTCACCCTGTATAGTGTTCTCACTGAGCAATTAAAAAAGTCAGCACACGCCTATGATAATAATATATGTATATATATGTATTCTTATAAGTCATAATGCTTTCTAAAATTTTATCCTTCTCAAAATTTTAATTTTTCTGTTGTTTATCTATTACGTATACTTCAAAATTTTATTTATTTTTTAATAAACATACCCTGAAAAATTATAAAGTTTTCTTCAGATAGATGGATCGCCAGTGAATAAAACATAATAATTAAAGGGTTATGTCGACAATAACTAGCACAATATACATATTTCAATTAATACACGCAGGTTTCATGCGGGGGGGAGCTCTAGTTCAACTTTGAGTTACTTCCGTCCAAGGGGTGGACGATCGAATAAAATTCGATAATCCTTGTGTAGATTTGCAGATTTGAACTGGGATCTACGGCTTATTAAAGCTGCGCACATCTCTTTGCGCCACGACCGTTATGGCGCAAAGAGATGTGCGCTTCGAATGACCGACACACGATATAATATAGAATATATTCGCTGTTTTCGCCGTTGCATCTTAATTTAACAGTTTATACAAAAACTCTAGAACGTCGTTACGATAACATTACATCGCTTTTAAGCAAAATAAAATAAGTAGAGCGATATGTCAGGCAAATAATAGATATTATTATATGTCAACAATGTTAGGTAACATTTTAAATGCTTGTATGCATGTATGTTTTTTTAAAGTTTACCATACATTGTACTAGTGAAATGTATACTAACAGTAAGTATAATTACTTGGTAAAATGTATGGTAAAATTCCAAAAAACTTTCATAAAATTCTTTAAAATGCAGTGTTGTCCCATAATTACAATACATTCAGGATAAATTTTAAAAGAAAATTCTCTCCGTGTAGATTTGTTACTTTCTACGCGAAGCAATTTTATTAAACTTATATATTTCTTATTAATAAATTGTTTTGTATAGTAATTTAAAGTGACAGTCGTGACACGGCACGTATTATTGTAAATTTCATTTATTACATTGTGATATTTCTCGACAGTTGATCTCTCATAATTTTACCCATTTTTATGCACGTTTTAACAATGAATAGTTCTCCCCGTTAAATATCTATAAAAGATGTTTTAATCTTACCACTTATGTATGTTTTTCTTGAGAGTCGATGGTTCAATTTTATTCTACAGTCAAATAGTCGATTGTCAGGATTAAGCAAGACTGTCCGCAGGCCGTACGGTACACGAGTGTCCGTTCGAATGACCGGCACACGATATAATATATTCGCTGTTTTCGTCGTTACATTTTGACTTAATAGATTATACAAAACCCTAGAACGTCATTACGATAACATTACATTGCTTTTAAGCAAGACGAAATAAGTAGAGCGATAAGTCAGGTAAATAATAGGTATTTATATGTCGACAATGTTAGGTAACATTTTAAATGCTTCCATGTATGCATTTAACCATTTGTAAATCATCACAGAATTTTAACTTTATATAGTGTTCTCAAAGATTGTCAAATTTTATTCGATCGTCCACCGCTTGGACGGAAGCAACAAAGTTGAACTAGAGCTCCCCCCCGCATGAAACCTGTGTGTATTAATTGAAATATATTGTGCCAGTTATTGTCGACATAACCCTTTAATTATTATAATGTCTTGTTAATAGAGAAAATAAAATGTATAATACATACATGGCAACATTATGTGTAACTATTCTAAGATCGATATTACCAGGCGGACGGAATCTACGGTCTCTAAAAGTCAATCAGTAGATTATCACTGAAAATAGTGAATAGTCCCTGATTTACAATTATAAGTATACCGCTGCGATTTTCAGTCAATTGTTACTGATTTACATTTATAAATATACCACCGCGATTTTCAGTGGTACACTTATAATTGCAAATCAGTTCATTGATAATTTACTGATTGACTTTTAGAGACTGTAGATTCCATCGATTTCTTTCGCTTTATTAATTTCTTTTTTTCTAATCGCGATGTGTAACCGGCCATCGTGACGTAAGTCTAGACGCGATGCGGCAAGACGCGAGAGCGGCGACGTAAGCTCGATGGGCAACGGCGCGCTGTTTCCTCCCCCCCCCTTGCGCCGTATTTTTATACCGAATAATTAATTGTCGCGATCCGTAATCTTATTGCTCATTTCTGCGGTGATTTCTCGAGAAGAATATCACGTGTAATTTGAAGTAAAAGTGTCATAAGGGAATTGCATATATAAATTATTAGTTAGGTTCGATATATCCACGAGGGCTAATACCTTTTTTTACGATCGAACTCGGACGAATCTCTCTCACGTCGTGCTTGAAGTAGCAAACCTAAGTTATGTGTTGTGTTAACTCGATATTAATTGTTTTAAATATACACATAATTGTACAACTTTTTGGTCGATAATCCCCTCCTCGGGTACTTACCTTGCAGCGGTGGAGGGGCTTAAGTACCCCGAAGAGCTGTTCTCTAAAGATCAATCAGTGCATTATCACTGAATCAGTAAATATTCACTGTTTTCAGTGACAATCCATTGATTGATTTTAGAGAGTACATACTCTAAAGACCGGGACAACCAAAGGTACCCATTGCGCTATTCGGGCTCGATTTTTCTGTTTCTAATAAACTGTTGACCACAGTTTAATCGATTCTCTGTCTCTTCTTAGATAATAATATAGAAAAGCATAAAGAGTCGAGTAACTTTCATATTAACAGTTAACCAGAAAATGATAAACCAGGCCTAACACTCTCTGAAAGTTAATCGGTGGATTATTACTGAAAATAATGAATAGATTTAATCTGAATACAATTAATTAAGTTATAAAAATGTAAGAACGCAATTTTATTGCAAACAAAAGAGGATCGCCGATAAGAATTCGGCGGGGGTGGTGGAGGGCCTTTACAAGTTGGTCTGTTTTTATCGGATAAAAATTTAATTCAAATCTTAAAGATGGTCATTATTTAATTTATAACCATAAAATGCAAAGTTATAATAAAATATATAGAAAACCAAGCTTATCGAGAACAATCTATATACTACAAATTTTGTTGGCAAAAGGAGTACAACGTAGCTTGTCAGCAAATTTCTATATTTTGTAATTATACATATAATTTATATGTCAGCAACGAAAGAATGTGAATCGCCAGTAGTTGATTAACGAGAAAAAGAATTGTTAGATGACTTTAGGCTGGCAGATGGTTTCTTTACTTAAATCCGACGTTTCGACCGTACGCCCATACAGCACCAAACCTTTCAGAAACATTTCAGGAACATTGCAACATTGCAAATTGCAATGTAATATTGCAGAGACGATTCAGAGACATTCAATTGTAATATTTCGCCGACAATGTTTCAGTAACCTTGTAGAAATATTATAAAGTTTGCAAAATATATTTGTAACGTATTATGATATTCTTTAGATTTTTCAAATTTATATTATTTCTCATATATTCCAAACGCAGCCTAATAGCATGTATAGCAACGCTACTCGATAGTCTTGTAATTTCCGATATTGCCGGTATCGGTCTTCTTCGTCCACGTTGTCCATGTTTAAAGTGTATCTTCGCGACCTCCAACGTGTCTCTTAACGATATCACTCTAATCCACGGTAATTTCTATTCCTATATAAATATATTAAAATAAACCACAAATTTGATAATAATTTTGTAATATGTAAAGTACTTCAGATTTTAATAGATTACATTTTTATTATTTTAGTAGATTAGATTTATTATTTTAATAGATTAGATTTATTATTTTAATAGATTAGATTTTTATTATTTTAATAGATTAGATTTTAATAGATAAAGTTTCAGAATATATGACATCCGATAAGAATAAGATTTGAGAATAAGATAGGAAAAAATGTTGCAAATTTTTCTTATATTGTATATCTCTTGGGTGTCTTCACATTCTCAAATTTTATTTATTAGGTTGTTCGAAAAGTTCGTTTCAAATTTCCCATGTATTATACATATACAGGAAATTTAAAACAAACTTTCCGAACAACTTGTTAAAATCTTAAGTATCCTGTATATTTATATAAATAACTCATAATAAAATCAATATTACAAATACTACAATGTAACATTGCACCGTGTCATTGTTGCAATGTTACATTGTAATATATCTGAAGGAGGACATTTCAATGTTGCTTCAAGCTTGCAGCAACGTTGCTGAAACATTTCGCAACCTCCATGCAATGTTACAATGTTGCAGTGAAAGGTGTATGTAATGTTTCTGCAATCTTTCGGTGCTATACGGGCGGATTGTGGTCCTTCTCAAGGAATTCAACAATCTACAAAAACTGATCTCCGTAGGAAACACCATTTTCCAGTTACGGTGTGTAATTAACAACGAAAGACGTCGGATTTAAATAAAGAAACCACCTGCCAGCCTAAAAGTCGTCTAACAATTCTTTTTATCGTTAATCAACTACTGTCGATTCACATTCTTCCGTTGTTAATACTTTGTATTTGCAATATTTTTAGTGTTCTTTGAATAAATTCGCCACTCACGCGAATCAATTTCTCGAAGCTTCGAAGTGATTCAAAGTTTCGAAGTTCGAATGTCGAAACCTTCGTAAGAAATTACCAGTCCTACTAAATAGCACAATTAATCGAAAATAAGTTTTATTATATTAAAAATATTAAACGTGATAATTTGATAGATAATCTTCTAAGCTTGTTGGTATATCTTAAAACACAGTCGTTATAAGAGCGAACGAGACAGTAATATATACTCCTATAGGAGCGAGTTTAAATGAGAATAACAGCAAAAGCGAAGAAAAGTTAGGAAAAATTAATAACACTCTCGTGTTATCGACATTTCATGCATGCAGCACGGAACACAACCAAAATTGGGCGCTGCATTACCCGCTTGAAAAATAGTAGCACGGACACGCACCAAACTTCATCGGCAGTGCTTGAGAATAGCGGAATAGTTCCAAAAATGAAAATGGGTGTAAGGCGCTGGAATCTGGAATCAGCTGTGCGAAAACTGTATCACCTCCGACTTCTCTCTGTAAACGCTCTTGTAAAACGGAGATTGCCTAACCTCGAAGAAACTCGCTTTTAACAATCAAACGTTTATAAAGATAATTATCTTTTTACAAGGAAGTTTAGTTGTATCGCGACGAAAGTCAAGTTACGATTTTAATATTTCAAGTCTCGTTTTAACCAAATGGTATAGAAATTGGTGCATTTTGGTTCAAATCTAAAATCGTTAGTTTAAGTGTTTTATAAAATTATTACCGATGATTTTGATTGATTTTACATCGATTTTTGTAGATACAAGTCTGAGAAGTTTGTTTGAAAATCGAGACGTTCGAGTCATTCTGACTGAGCCGAGATTTTACAATGGACGTATCGACGCGTGAGGACGAGTTAATAGCAGAAATTACGAAGCTGCGTAAATTGCTGCGCACAAAAGAGGCTGAACTAGCTTCTTTGCGACACGAGAAGCAGGTCGTGCAAGAACACGGTTTGAACAACGACGAAATTTGTAGATACAGCCGGCAGCTCTTTTTGACAGAAGTTGGTGTGAAAGGTATGCGATGTGTACATATACAAGATTTTCCTTACGACACATAAGTATATAAACGTTGTATAAACTGAATGCTTTGGTAAAATCTGCAATCGCATTAATCTTGTAATAAATCGTGGAATCTGGTAAATTTATATACATAAAGTGTAAAAATATTGATAGCACTTTTGCATGTACGTGAATACAATAAGGAGATGGCATGTAATATTTTTCTGATGGACTCCAAGTTTTTTATAGGTCAAAAGAAAATAAAGGACAGCTGTGTACTTATTGTGGGAGCTGGTGGTCTTGGTTGTCCAGCGGCGTTGTACTTGACATGCGCTGGCATTGGCCACATAGGCATAGTAGACTATGATGATGTTGAGATAAACAACCTTCATAGACAGTTTTTGTACGCAGAAACCAGCGTCGGTACTGCGAAAGTGATCGCAGCAGCGGAAAGTCTTAATCGGTATAATAGTATTGCAAATTAATTGTATATTGATTTCGCTGACGTGACTACATTCTTTTACGTGGAACCTAATTTAAATAGAAAGATTAATTTATTCGGTACTCTTGCGTTTGCAGGTTAAATAGTTATGTAAAAGTTATGCCATATAAAATTCAACTAGATAGTAAAAATGCTTTGGACATCATAAGAAATTATGACGTTGTAATCGATGCTACAGATAACGTAGCTACTCGTTATTTGTTGAATGACGCGTGCGTTTTGAGTGGCAAACCACTGGTTTCTGGATCAGCACTGAGGTTCGAAGGACAATTGTCAGTATTTAATTACAACAATGGCCCTTGCTACCGATGCGTCTACCCTAGACCGCCACCACCTGAAACTGTAACGAACTGTGGGGACGGAGGTGTACTCGGTGCAGGTAGAGCTCTTCCGCCGATTTCTATATGCATTTTGTAATTTACAATCAAATATCTATTGTAATATCATCCCTCTTTGTTTCTCATTGTCGGATACCAGCCGTGGGTACAATTGGTGTGTTACAAGCACTGGAAACGTTGAAAATAATACTTAATATGCCCGATGTGATTTCGGGACGACTTTTGTTGTTTGACGGAGTGGAAACTAAATTTCACAATGTGCGTTTACGCCCAAAGAAAGCAGATTGCGTGGTTTGCGGGGAACATCGTGTTATACATGAATTAATAGACTATGAGCAATTTTGTGGTGCAAAGGCTAATGACAAAGAGCCTAATTTAAATCTGCTGAGAAAAGACGAAAGAATATCAGTTGAGGAATACAATAAAGTCGTGAAAATGGACTCGAAACCTCATATACTGATCGATGTACGTTCGCCTGAGGAATATGAGATCTGCCACTTGGAGAATTCCATTAATATTCCTCTCGTGCAACTTAACAAGGATTATAATTTAAAACTAATAAACGACAATATAAAAAAAGTGCAAGAAGAACATCATTCAGTAGATTGTAAGATACATCCGCGTTGTAATTCTTTAGATCAATTTTTATGCGAGTAATAAAATTAATTTATATATTTATTTTTTCAGTGTATCTTCTGTGCAGACGTGGTAATGATTCGCAAAAGGCAGCTCAATTCCTAAAAACGATATTTACCGAAGATACTTTAAAGGTAAGAGACATACTCGGAGGTATTCATGCTTGGAGCAACAAGATTGATCCAAAATTTCCTAAATATTAATATAAAGATTGTACCGATGTAACACATTTGTTTAGTATGTCTTTTATTAAATAAAATTACCGTCGGGATAATGTGATATAAAAATTTATAAATTTTTATACGTGTCTACAGCTGTTGAAAAAATATATATTTTTTATTTACATATATACTTAATTTGAATATTTTTCTATTTCCTCCACAGTTAGACTAGTTTCCGGATGCTTATAATGAGAGTCTGATAAATCTCTCAATTTTTCTGCTGCTTGTTCCGGTGTTAGGTCTCTCTGTACTTGAGCTAAAAGTTCATAGCCGACCATATGCTTCTTTATGGTATTAGATCGTAATAAAGGTGGAAAATACATTCCATGGAAGGTCCAGTACGGATAATCACGTTGATATAGACCCGTAGGAGCGCCTTTAATATCGATAAATCAGGAATTGTAAACTGTGCTAGATTGAAATGGCATATGAAGACAATAAGTAGAATATTTGATAATAATTATTCTTTACCGTGCCATCCCATCGAATATGGAAAAGAGCAATTAAAGAGATTATCATATTTCGTACACAATCTCTTCATAATGACAGCTAAAGATTCTTGCTGGCTGTCAGACAAGTCTTGCATTCTGGCCACTTGTTTTTTTGGTAATACCATAGTTTCGTATGGCCAAACTGCCCAGAACGGTACTACGACTACCCAATCACGATTCTCTATTACAATGCGATCCTGTGAATTCATATAACAGCTTGGTTAAAATCGTATTAAATGATTCTGAATACCAGAGAAAACTCGTTCCCTTGAACTTTCTCATACGTATCGAAGTATGCACTGTTTATAATATATGACTAACTTTCTTTAGAACTTCTTTCTGCATATAATCAATGAGAAGAGGTTTCTTGTTACGCTCATAGTAGTCGGCGAGATATCCGTCTTTTATTCTAATTTCATTCGGTAAAAACGAACTGGACCATATCTGACAGTGAGGGTGTGCATTGCTACAACCCATCAGAGCACCTCTATTTTCAAATATCTGGACCCAGGTCCACTTCTCACCCAGCTCCAACATCTCAAAAATCCACCTGTTGCAATGTTCATTTTTTTTTTACAAATGACAAGTATGTACGTATTAAATGTTACTCACTGTTTGATCACTTCCTTGATCTCGTGAATCTTCATCAGCGCTATTGTTACATTCGACTTCGGATGAAAGCACATCACTTTGCAGGTACCTTTAGCGGATCCCATTTGAAACAATTCATCATTCGGTTTCGGTGGATCCGGCACCGATTCCAATAAAGCAGGAAAGTCATTTACGAACGAGAACGTGTTTTGGTACAGCGGGGTTACCTGTAACATGAAACAGCAAGCTTAAATGATCTAAGACAGCAATAAAATCAAACGTTAAACGTTAATTTATATTTTCGGAAAGTTGTTATTACATCAATACGATGAAAGAGTGAATTTGATCAAAGAACTGCTCTATTAAGTTTTAAATTACTTTGTTCCGTTACAAAAGTTTCCTGTAAATGAAGAACATGCCGATATGGATAGAAATGTAGACGACAATATAAAATGAATATAGCAAATCCTTTTGTCAAATAAAGTCAAGAATTTTGATGTTTCAGTTATAGAAATCGAAACTGTGTGAAAAGTTATTTATATATTAGAGAGAATACGAGCAATCAACTGACTTCTCCATTAGCTCTAACATTTCCTGGACAAAGGGGATTTTTGGGATCGTAATCTGGAAGCTCCTCATCTGCACTGGGTTCTATTTGACCTCCCCAGGGTCGCTTCATACGGTGTGGCGACACCAGCACCCATTCCCCTCTTAATGGATTATATCTCATGTGTTGATGTTCTGCAAGACAATTAAATCTTATTAACACAACTCGCTCGTTAGATATTGGAAAATATCATCGCATATATATCTAACCAATTGGATCAAACGCCGACGATGTGGCATCATCCTTTGTTGCGAGTGTGTTCCATGGTCCATCACCTATCACAAATTCATAGAATTAGGCGATCCATTAGGATATCTCTGACATTGCCAAAGAAAAGAAAGTTGCGAGAAACATGCTGTACTTATATTAGTTTACGCTAAAGCTGCAATATTTTCTAACAGATTCTTCTTATCACTTTGCATATTTTATTACATAATGCTCTCTCCCTCTCCCTCCCTCCCTCCCTCCCTCTCTCTCTCTCTCTCTCTCCCCCCCTCTCTCTCTCTCTCTTTCTCTGCGAGTTTCAGGTTAAATGTGAAATATTTAATTATAATACAGATTATCATCGCAGTACCATCTTCATGTGGTATCATTTAATTAAAAAAAAAATACTGAATTAAACTTCGTTACTAACAAAAAGAAATTATTATTGAGAGATAAAATATGCCTCTTTAAAAACAAAAAAAAAGACAAATTCACAATATACCTCGTGACAACAATAATGACAAATGACAACAATAATATTAAGTGTTTACAACGTAACAGTGCGAACACGCTTACCTTTCGCCGACATTTGTGCGTAAAATCTCGGTGAACGAGATATGCTCCGCGATAAATTCTACTTTGATTGACGATTAATGAACATATGCTGGCTTAATTGCTCTTCCGTCGTATTTACGTAAATCACATTTTTGTGTAGATAACGGGCAAACGAGCGCATATAACCTCACGTCACAATGCTAAGCAGAGAGAAAGAGAGAAACTGAGGGAAACCTGAGAGGCGGCGTTTAAGGCCTTCACACATAAAATTCCGTAAGGACGTAAAACGTAAGCATAAGAAAATCGACCAATCACAGTCGAGAACGTAAGGCAATAACGCAAGCAGTAGCAAATCCAATCTGTTGATTTTCTTACGCTTACGTTTTACGTCCTTACGGAATTTTATGTGTGAAGGCCTTTATACTTGATACCGTTTCAAGAGACTGTTTTGCGCGCCTTTACGCTCATTGATACTTTTGGAACTATTTTCTATGCATCTTCTGACACTGCCGATAAAGTCATCACTTCGTGCGTGTTCACGCTACGCCAATTTTTCAGGATTGTGCTGTGAAATTTAAAATTACGTTAACATAAATTATCTGCACGATATTTATATCAACTTGTCTCGCGTAAACAATGTAAATTTTATAAATTAGATGTCAGAATGCATAGCACAGATATGCACCAAGTGGCAATTTTGGGTAAGCGTACAGGGATAGGGGGACATAATTCGAGAGTTTAAAAGATTAGATAACATAAATTAACGAAGTAACAAAACTTTAATATAATAAGTACGTAAAAAGAATTCCGTGATATTGTACGTATACCGAATATTTCATATATGTACAATATAACATCGAGAGAAATATTGTAGGTATTGTACAGATATTATATTTTTAATTTTATAACGTCATTATTTCTTTCATAACATTGTATGTATTGTAAAGTAAATTATAAGAAAAGTGAAATGAAGAATAACAATGTAAAAACGCGACTGTCGCCGCGTGAATGATCCTGCGTACGGCGCCGTAAACACCTCGGCCGAAAACCGAGCGCGGATTCCAAGAAATGACGTAGTGCCGTTAACACCCCGTGACCTCGGTCGAAAACAATCTATTGTGTCGAATCATTCGGCGCGGATCAGTCGAGCGAGGCGGACGTTCCGCGTGTCTTCGCGTCGCTCCTCGTAACGCGATCATTTCCTACGAGATGCAATCATCTCCTACGCACGCGATCATCTCGTTCGAAAGTTATTAACATTTATCAATCGCGACTTCTACTTCAAATTATTCGTCGCGACAAATCACCGTAGAAATTAACGATATAATTACGGACCGCGACAATTACTTAAACGCAATTGATAAATGTTAATAACAGATTGTTTTTGACCGAGGTGTTCACGGCGCTACGTCATTTCTTGGAATCCGTGCTCGGTTTTTGGCAGAAGTGTTTACGGCGCCGTACGCAGGATCATTCACGCGGCGACAGTCGAATTGATCGGTTATGCCCGCGCCACTTCGCATATCGTATTGTGGCATTATTATCGATACAGTGACAGTGACAGTGACAAGTGACTTTACAAACGGAAGTGTAAATTCGCGGGTGAAGTGGCATTTGAATACAGTGAGAGAGACAAGTGATTTTACAAAGGGAAGTGTAAATTCGCGAGTGAAGTAGCATTTGGATACAGTGAGAG